AACAACAGCAACAGTCGCAAGCAGCACCGAGGCAATAGTCGCGAACAGGGCCGAGAAGGACGTCAACGACAACTCTGGTGATGGCTTCCACAGCACCTACGGTGCATACATCAGCAAAAGTTTCTACAACTGTCAAAATCAAACCGACAAACCCACCCCCGTTCAACCCTAGCGACAAGAATGTTACTGTGTCTGCATGGTTGTTCGGCGTTGAGGTTTTCTTTAATGCTGCGCAAATTGCTGATGATGCCATGCGCATTAATTTTGCAGTGTCGCTGTTACGAGGACCGGCGTTGGAGTGGTGACTACGCACACTACAGACAGAGGGGACTCTGGCACGATTATCACGTGCGAACGACGGGACCTGGACATCTGTCACGCAACGAGCTACCTCGATCTTCGGAGTGGCTACGATACGCACATGGACGGAGTGGGGCGCAGCCCTGCGAAGCAGATTCGAGCATGTATCTGCCTCGGATTCTGCCCGCATGAAGCTGCGTGCCTGGAAGCAGGTGACATCGGTCCAAGACTACACGGCGACGTTCTGCGCCTTGGCCGACCAAGTGGACGACATGAGTGACGCGGAGCGACTCAATCGATATGTCGCAGGCCTCAAATACGAGGTTCAGTATGAAGTGCGACGAACGAGGGCACGCGACTTCAACGACGCCGTCCAGCTGGCCGAATCAACGGACGCGCTGATGCAGTGGGCGAGAATGAGTTCCCGGGAGAGAAATCAATTTCGTGGACCGCCTCACCAGCCCACAATCAACGGTGTGGATGCGCCAAGACGTGCCCCGGGCACGTGCTTCAACTGCAACCAACCGGGCCACTGGAGGAAAGACTGCCCGAAGCAGAAACAGGGAAACAGGAACAACGGAGAGGGGTCGGGAAAAGAGACGAGTCAGTAGCAGTCGGGCCACCTACTGACGAGACCCCGTCGCCCGGCAATCACCATCCACACCGAGTAGTGGTACCGATACGGGCTATCGACCGCAACCGGACGAATAAAGTGGATGAACACGTGGATCACCCTGTGGTGGTCGTGGGGAGGGTTAACGACTACACAATAAAAATATTCGTTGATGGTGGGGCGATCCACAGTCTCGTCAACCTGGCAACGACCAAAAAAATTGGAGTCTGGCTGGACAGGTGTCTGCCAGAGATCGATGCAAGGTTGGTGGACGGGACACCGCTGGCGATACGGGACGAGGTGCGACAAATTCGGATGAAGTGTGGCGACGATTTCGGGTTTTCAATGAAAATGTTGGCGACAACACTGGACGGTTGTGATGTGCTGCTGGGGCGAGATTGGCTGCAGCGATTCAATCCGACGATCAACTGGACAATGGGAGCATGCACGGTGCCGAGCAACAAGGGGCGCGTGACACTTCCGAAATGGACGGAGCCGGAGCCAGTAACTACATGTGTCAACGCCATCACGCTGACAAGGGCGATAAAAAGAGGAGTGCAAGGCTATGCCGTACAGCTGTACGAGGTGGTTGCGTCCGAAAAAATCGCCGACATTGACACGCTCTGTGCTGCTGTACCTGACGATGTGGCGAGCATCATTCAAAAGTATCCCGACATTTTCGCGGATGACCTGCCTGATGGACTACCACCTCATCGCCCAGAGGACCACAAGATCGAGCTGGAGCCCGGCGCGCAGCCAACTGTTCGGTCCCAGTGGCGACTCAGCCAACCGGAGCTTGCCGAGTTGTAGAAGCAGCTGGATTATCTGCTCTCAAAAGGTTTCATTCGGCCAAGCACGTCACCATTCGCCGCCCCGATACTATTCACGCCGAAAAAAGACGGAGGCCTGCGCATGTGCATCGACTATCGAGCATTGAATCGGATCACAATCAAGTCACGTTACCCGATTCCGCGAGCGAACGACCTGCTGGATCAGCTTCGCAGGGCTCGCTTCTTCTCGAGAATCGACTTGCGAGGTGGCTACCATCAAATTCGCGTGTTCGCCGACGACTGCCCGAAAACAGCTTTCCGCACCCGCTACGGCAGTTACGAATATACAGTGATGCTGTTCGGGTTGACGAACGCGCCCTCGACTTTCCAGCTCACCATGAACGGGGTGTTTTGGGACATGCTCGACAAAAAAATCATCGTTTACCTGGACGACATTTTGGTGTACAGCAAGACTCGGGAGGAACATTTACGGGATCTGGAGGAAGTGTTCCGGCGCTTGCAGCAGAACCAACTGATAACAAAGGGCTCTAAGTATGAGTTCTTACAGCCAGAGTTGGAGTTCCTGGGGCACGTGGTTTCTGGGGAGGGTATCAAAATTGACCCTCCCAAAGTGACAGCGATTTCGGAGTGGAAGCCGCCTACGAACATCACGGAGCTGCAGAGTTTCCTCGGCTTCGTTAACTACGTCCGCCGTTTTGTACCGAATATGGCAGGGGTAACCAAGCCGTTAACCGACCTACTGCACAAAGGCGCGCTATTTCTTTGGGGGGAGAGAGAACAGTTGGCCTTCAACGAGCTCAAAAACATTTTGAGTTCACCCCCGGTGCTTCGGCTGGCAGATCCATCCCGACCGTTCGAAGTCGTAACGGACGCCAGTGATTTCACGATCGGCGCCGTCCTTCTACAGGACTTCGGCAACGGGTTGCAACCCATCGCGTACGAATCACGCAAGATGCAGCCACCCGAGCGCAACTACCCTGTACACGACAAAGAAATGCTCGCCATCGTGCATGCATTTCGTACCTGGCGCTGCTACCTCACGGGAGCCGACGTTACGATCAGGACAGACCACAAATCATTACAGTACATGCGCAGCCAACCACAGCTCAACCCGCGACAAATCAGGTGGCTCGACTACCTCGAGTCCAATTTCAGCTACACCATCACGTACAAGAAGGGCGCCAACAACATCGCCGATGCACTGACCCGCCCATCTATGCAGACCGCAGCAGTACTAATCGCCCATTCCAACCCGCTCCTTTCAGGACTATTGACCCATGGATACAGGACCAATCGGTTCTTCAAACGAAATCAACATCTACGGGTCACCACGCCACACGGGCATTATTTCCTAATAGTCGGTACCAACCGAGTTTGGGTCCCGTCATATCGACCCTTACGAGAGTTGCTGACGCAGGAGGTTCATGACTCTAACCTCTCCGGGCACTTCGGCATCGACAAAACACTGAAGCTGCTGCAGCGGAATTACTATTGGCCCGACATGGCGTCGGACGTGCAGCACTACGTGACCGCCTGCCCAATCTGCCAAGCCATGAAGTTGTCGCGACAACGCCCAGCTGGATTGCTGCAGCCCCTCGAGCCACCCGAACGACCGTGGCAACAAGTGACGATGGACTTCGTTACAGGACTTCCAGCTCGCGCAAGTGGCAACGATTCGGTGTTGGTCGTCGTTGACCGATTAACGAAAATGGCGCATTTCGCACCATGCCGTACGACGATCACAGCCGAAGAAACTGCAAAGCTGTTCATCTCGACCGTCGTCAGATTACACGGGTTACCTTCGACGATGATCAGCGATCGGGATCCGAAATTTACGTCGAAATTCTGGTAAGAAACGTGGGCACAGTACGGCACTCGTTTGCCGTTTTCGTCGTCATACCACCCGCAAACCGACGGACAAACAGAGCGGACAAATCAAACCATGGAGCAGCTGATTCGCACGAACTGCCCCGACATTACCAAGTGGGAAGATTTACTCCCCATGCTGGAATTTGCGTTCAACAACGCACTGTCTGCGACAACCAACCAGTCGCCGTTCTACCTCAATTACGGGATAGACCCCGTGGTACCCACTTCGACGACCCTGATAACCCGGTACCACGGTCACAGCAGTACGTCTCGGAACTTCAGGCAGCCCGCGATAAAGCAACAGAATTTATCCGAAAGGCTAATAATGTTGCCAGCCGCTACGCTGATCAACATCGAAGGAATTTTCCCTTCCACGACGGGCAGATGGTCCTACTGGACACGAAGAATTTTCGCCTGCCCCAACCCGCTAAACTGCGTCCCCGTTAAGTGGGGCCTTTCCGAATCATTCGGATGCTGACACCGGTCACGGCGAAATTACTGTTACCGGATGACTGGAAGATTCATGATGCTTTCCACGTCAGTCTGCTCCGCCACTACGTGGCCCCGCAGTCGTCCGACATTGCCCGTCCCACTATCGCACCAAGTGGTCGGCCTGTAGCAGATCCGACACTTCAACCGTCACAGATCCTGGCTCATCGCATCCGTGCGACACCGGCAGGACGCCACGTCGATTTCCTTCTACGATGTGTAGATCGCACCAGTGAAGATGACACGTGGGTCCCGGCTGACTCGCTGCAAGGTCACTCGGCATTACGGAATTATCTTTCCCGCCGACGAGCGCCTGATATTGACCACCTTTCTTAGAAGGGGGGGTAGTGTAAGGAATTTTCCTTATTCCTTACTGAGGCACCTTATGCGTGTACAACTCCAACTTTCAGAGTTGGAACGCTACCGACGACCTCGCCTTCAGAACGTCCCTCGCGTCGCCTTCGGGGTTCCCAACCCCAAACCTGCACCCGACCTTGCACGGTCCTACGACCTCGGCCTAGCTAGCTCTTGCTATATTATCCCTAGGCCTCATTATTTGCTCAGACGTTGTAATCACTTCCGCGATATTGCATTCTGCGCAACTCTTCTTCTTACAACTCATAACACTTGGGCTCTACATCATCCCTTAAATTGTGCAAAAACATGTAAGGCAGTAAATTACGATCAAATTCGCCCATACATTTGGTTGTGTTGTTGATATGCCCAGGGTAGCCGTCTTTGGCCATTTTTTATTCAGATGCTCTAACAGATCACAGAGAAACGCTACCGAAAAATAGCTCCCACTAAAATCAGGCAAATCAGACAAAAAAAAAATCTGATATCTGAGGCCCTGCTTCAAACTCACTTGTACACACAAAGAGCACTCATATCAAAGCTACCCAAAATCTCCTTTTATTCCGCTCAACCCATCTCAGTGTTCAAACCTCACTCGACTCTTTTCCACACATAGTGTCCACCCTCCGAATCTCCTGTGAGAAGGTGGAACCCCTAAGGTCCGCCAAATCTCTGTCCATAGTCGCCAGTACCGGATCCAACTCCTGCCCAAAGCACTCTTGTCTCAGGACCAGAATATCGGAGAGAACGCGGGCCATGGTGGGGCGAGTGGTGACAGACATGGTGGTGCAGGAGAGGGCGAGGGTGGCGAGCCTGAGAATAACGTGGCTGGGGGCGTCCAGGCGTGGGTCTTTGATTTTGTCCGCATCCCCTGCTTTCAGTAGCAGCTCTACCTGGAAGGGTGGGGTGCGGGAGGAGCAGGTGGAGAGATGGAAGTGTTACAGACGCTCATGAGGCATAAGGGAGGGGCATGAGAGGCATAAGGGGCATGAGAGGCACAAGAGGCATAAGGGGGATAATGGGCATGAGAGGACGACACAGCTTGGGGGTGTCCAGAGACGTGAGGTTCTGGATGGCGTCTCCACTAGGGGTTGGATGCGGTGGGGTGGAATGCACCGAGGGGAGGAGAGAGAGACATAAGAGGGCCTCGGGGATTCGAGCTCAAGAGCCCCAAGTGGCATAAAAGCCCCAAGCTCCTCTCTTAATCAACCCGTTCATCCTTTGGTCAATCTACTATATTTCTCACCTTTTAACTCATCCTTTGGTCAATCTACTATAGTTCTCACCTTTTAATTCATCCTTTGGTCAATCTACTATATCTCATCCTTGGGTCAATCGTCGCTCTTCTGCACCCGTTGATCAATCTTGTCTATAGCCCAGCCCATCTTTCGATCAAACATCCATCTGGGTCATCCTGGTGCATTCTCCATCCTTTCACCGTTCGCTCTCTCTTTCTCGTCCTTTCCAACCAGCAGCTCACCCAACCAGTGAGGTTGACGGAGGTGCCCTCTATAGTTCTCAGAGTCCTCTCGGGTTCCACGTAGACCAAGGCCTTGCGCCCAGTGATAACTGTCAGCAACACCACTCCAAAGCTGGGGGCGAATGGGGAGGGGGGAGGAAGAGGGAGAAGGGACACAGTGGCATGAGATGGATGGACTGTCACATGTCATGAGACTGTCTTTCAAGCAGCTCACAGCCTTGCGCCCACTCATGACTGTCAGCATCACCACTCCAAAGCTGGCACAGGCACGTGTGCAATGGTGGTGGTGAGTGACAGCGAGCAGTGGTGGTGTGCAGTGGTGGTGAGCTTGAAGAAAGCAGGGTCCGCACCAAGCAGACAGTTTTGAGGCGCCTCAAAACCAAAGCAGGGTCCGCACCAACCAAGCAGACCATACCTTTGATAACCAAAAGACTGTCCGGTATCGGTTTAACCTGCCGTTATCAAGCTCACATTTCCCCTTGTTCTCTCCCCTTGTACCACTCTATACCACCCTGAACCTGTTGTGCACATCTGTGTGCCATTCACCTGTGCCCTCACCTGTGCCCTCACCTGTGCCCTCACCTGTGCCCTCACCTGTGCCCTCACCTGTGCCCTCACCTGTGCCCTCACTTGTGCCCTCACCTGTGCCCTCACCTGTGCCCTCACCTGTGCCCTCACCTGTGCCCTCACCTGTGCCCTCACCTGTGCCCTCACCTGTGCCCTCACCTGTGCCCTCACCTGTGCCCTCACCTGTGCCCTCACCTGTGCCCTCACCTGTGCCCTCACCTGTGCCCTCACCTGTGCCCTCACCTGTGCGCTCAGCTGTGCCCTCACCTGTGCCCTCACCTGTGCCCTCACCTGTGCCCTCACCTGTGCCCTCACCTGTGCCCTCACCTGTGCCCTCACCTGTGTCCCACCTGTCCTATCAGCATCTCACCCGCTCGTGGCCCTCACCAGTGCACTCACTCGTGCCTTCTCTTCTCTCACCTGTACACGTCTGCTGCAGGAGTGGCTCTCTGTGTCCATGAGTACGCGGGGTCCACATAGCCTGGAGTTCCCATCACTCCTGCACTCACCTGTGCTATCTACACGGCACTCACCCTTCCATCTCCACTCACCTATACACGTCTGCTGCAGGAGTGGCTCTCTGTGTCCATGAGTACGCGGGGTCCACATAGCCTGGCGTTCCCATCACCCGCGTTGCACCCACAGTGGTGCCTTTGTTTATCCGCACCAACCCAAAGTCAGATACCTTGGCCTGTAGTGAGGCGGGGAGAGAGAGACAGAGAAAGAGGGCGAGAGAGGTGGAGAGAGCGAGGAGAGAGCAAAGAGCCAACAGTGGTGCCTTGGTTTATGCGCACCAGCCCAAAGTCAGATACCTTCACCTGTAGTGAGGCAGGGAGAGTGAAGCAGTGAGAGAGGCGGAGAGAGAGGCAGAGAGAGAGGCAGAGAGAGAGGCAGAGAGAGAGGCAGAGAGAGAGGCAGAGAGAGAGGCAGAGAGAGAGGCAGAGAGAGACGGACGGCGGAGAGGAGACGAGACAGAGGACCGGAATCGAAACACATAGGATGAAGAGGAGGGCGACGATGAGAGGTTGGCGTGGCTTTGGAAAGGGAGGAGAGGAGGAGGTGCCATATAAAATTCACAAGCATTGTGTGCCCACGCACGCACGCATGGATGCTCATACACGCACATACATAGATGCTACTAAATGGCCACAACGATGGATGCGTGCACACGTCTGTGAGCGTGCACCCGTGACGTTCGCTCTCACCTGCATATGCCTGTCAAGCAGGACGTTGCCAGGCTTGAATTGATTTCACGATGCACGATGCTGAAGCTGTGGAGTGGAGGTAGTCCCTCTCCCATGGGGAAGGGAGTTGCTCACAGAGAAAGGCACACACTCAGAACAAGCTCAAGCTCTCACCTGCATGGTGTTGTCAAGCAGGACGTTGGCGGGCTTGATGTCGCGATGAACGATGTTGAAGCTGTGCAGGTACTGTAAGCCCTGAGCCACCCCTATGAGCACGTCCAAGCGCTGCTGCAGGTTCAGAGGCACAGGCACGCCTGGTGGTGGTTGTGGTGAGGAGGTATGGAGTGAGAGGCGAGGGAATGGGTGTTGAAGCTGTGCAGGTACTGCAAGCCCTGAGCCACCCCTATGAGCACGTCCAAGCGCTGCTGCAGGTTCAGAGGCACAGGCACACCTGGTGGTGGTTGTGGTGGCAGGAAGGAACCAAAGAAATGAATCACGGAGTGAGAAGTGTGGGGATGGGTGTTGAAGAAGCTGTGGAGGTACTGCCAGCCCAGGCCAGCCCAGCCCCCTGAGTTACAACTTACACATATGAGCTCGTGAACGCGCTGCTGCAGGGTCAGGGGCACAGCCACACCTGGTGGTTGTTGTGGTGGTGAGGAGGCGGGCGTTTCAACATGCGTTGAGTTCACCTCATAAACATCGATATTCGCACTTTGAGGTACCTCAAAACTCGCCTCTCTACCCGCGCGCCTTAACGCTTAGAGCACATAAATGTCGGTATTTGCTTCGCTCGCAATGCTTTACGAATCATCAGTGATTCAGGTGCCAGCGAATTCCCTTCAAGCACCCACCTGGTCAGATCCACCTCGCAAGGTGACCATGCTCCATGGACTCAAACCTCCAAGAATTCCATACGATAATTGACAAGTGTAAGAACAAGAGACACCTCTTCAGGTGCCTTGAAAACCACCATCCGCACACGTACCTGGTCCGATCCACCGCTCGAGGTCCCCGTTGTGCATGAACTCATAGATGAGAATCTGCTATATTTCCCCAACCACCACGTCCATATGAACGCAGAAGATTCCATCAGAGCACCCACCTGGTCCGATCCACCTCTCGAGGTCACCGTTGTGCATGAACTCATAGATGAGAATCTGCTCTATCACCCCTGTGGCCGCGTCCATGTGGGTGCAGTACCCCAGCAGGCGCACCAGGTTGCCGTGGTTCTTTGATGCCATCTCATTGATCTGCCATGCACATGTTGTTGTAGTGTGCGGGGGGGGGGGGGAGGGGAGGGGGGAGGGGTGATGGGGAGCGGGGGGGAGTTTTGGTCATGCAAGACCCCAGCAGGCGCACAAGGTTGCCGTGGTTCTTGCACGCCATCTCATTGATCTGCCATGCACATGTTGTTGTTGTGTGTGGGGGAAGGAGGGGGAAAGGGGGGGGGCGGGAGGGGTTCGGTCATGCAATAGCTCAGCAGGCGCACGAGGTTGCCGTGGTTCTTGCTCGCCATCTCATTGATCTGACGTAGAGGGGGGGCGTGGAGGGGGAGGAAAGAGGGGTTCATTTCTGAGACGTCTCAAAACTCGTGGTGGCCATAGTTCTTTTCTTGATGCCATCATCGATTCGTCTGTCATGGAAAAAAATTTAGGGGGGGCAGCAGGGGGAGGGAGAGGGGAGAACGGGGAGGGGGGAAGGACTGCACTGCACTGCACTCGACTGAAGCGCTGGGCTTCAATGATTACCCAACTCCATAAGCGCTGCTAGTTTTATGTAAATAATGGGCCACTTGTTTGTTGAGGTCTTCTTAATTTTGTTAGGCAATTGGCAAATTAATCCCAGACACGCGCCATGTTCAAAACACCAATGATTTTGTTTTATCTAGTTTACTCACCAGAATATCCTACTTACAGCTTGAGTCGACTCAGATGTCACCTGAACGGACTTCTCAATAAAAGTCATCAGTTGTGGATACGGTGACACGTTTCACCGCCCACAGCACCAACGAGTCGTGGGGGAACAGACACGGCTGCACCACGCGACAGCACTGCACTGCACCGCACAGCACTGCACTACTACCGCACCCCCCTATCTCCTCACTCACCTCTCGGTGAAAGTCATCGGTTGTGAATACAGTGGCGCGCTTCACGGCCCACAGCACCGATGTGTCATGGGGGGACAACATGCCGTACTATACTGCACTGCACCGCACAGCACTGCACTGCGCCAGTACAATCTCTCCCTACTCACCTCTCGGTGAAAGTCGTCGGTTGTGAATACAGTAGCACGCTTCACGGCCCACAGCACGGATGTGTCATGGGGGGACACGCCCTTGTACACATCTCCGTACCCGCCGCTGCCGATCCTATTCGCCTCAGCCCAGTTGTTGGTCGCCCATAGCACGTCCGTCAAGGGGTAGAATTTGCACTGCTTAGACCCGGGCTTCCCCACTGCTGCTGCTGCTGCTGCTGCTGCTTCTGGGGGAATGGTGCATGAATGGCAGGAACAGGTGTAGGGACGGCAGTGCAAAGTGGGAAGAGATGAGGAGGGCTGGCAAGGCAAGCTGGTACGTTGCTGAGGGAAGCTGGTACGTTGCCGAGGCAAGCTGGTACGTTGCCGAGGCAAGCTGGTACGTTGCCGAGGCAAGCTGGTACGTTGCCGAGGCAAGCTGGTACGTTGCCGAGGCAAGCTGGCATGCAGTTCCGCACTCGTCTGTGTTGTGTGAGGTGGATGCCGAGGCAAGCTAGTATGTGACATTCGAGGCAAGATAAAATGTGGGACTGTTTCAGAGAGGCCGCATCTCCAAAGACTGGTTTCTGAGAAAATTTAGCAACCAACTCGTCTCATGCTGTAATGAGCTCCCACCAGGATATATCCCAAACTGTCTTGACAGTTCCCAACCTCAAAGCAGCACAGTTGTAACATTATGTTTTTTTGTATACACGAGCCGCTTATAACTCCGTGGGCCCCAAATCTATCCTTTTATCCACAAACCCTTACTTCGTAATTCCCCACAAAATCGTAAAACTCGTCACACGCTTTCGCTTACCTTCATCGTTTGTTGCTGCCTTCTTCTGGAACCTCTTATACAAAAGCACGATCAGAACTACCACTCCTAGCAACAGCAGCACTGCTCCCACAACCGCCCCCACCACCAACCCCGTGGGCGCCCCTTCCTTATTCCCTGAGGGTGGGGTAGGAGAAGAGGCCCCCCCTCCCCCTCCTACTGGAGGGAAAGGAGAGAAGGAGAGGGGAGTTGGGGGAGAGGTGGAGTTGGGGAAGCAGATAAGAGGTGGGTTCATTGGCGGAGGTGGAGAGAGGCGGAGTGGGTTGAACGTGGAGCTGGAAGAAAGGAGGAGGTGAGGGGAAGCTAAATTATCCAAATCATAGGAATAAAATAAAACATCCGAACTATCGTATCTTCCAAATAGTCTAAAATATCTGAACAATGCTTCTTATCTGGAGCATCTCAATCATCTAAATCGTTCTCACCTGTGCACGGCCCGATCTGGCATCCCGCACCGCAGTAGGAGGAATTGCTTCCGCACCAGCCTGACGCGCTGCACGCAAAAGAGGGTGAGGGAGAGGCAGAAGAGGAGTTAGAATAGAAAAGCGCTGTTTTCCACACCAGCATCGCTCGCGAGAATCGAGGCAGGAAGACGAGGGTTAAGTACAGAGCGCGAGAAGGAGAGGCGAAAGAAAAGGGGACGGGATGAGAGGGGCGAAGAGACTTGGCGGTTGAGGTGTTTGAATTGAGGGTGAGAAGAAGGGGCCCAGCCTGAAGGTAACTCTGAAAACATTAGCTTGAGAGATAGATGGATGGGCTTCAATGAAAATGAAATGTGTGTTTTGAAGGCCGGACTTTGGGAGGACTCTAAACTGGTGAACAATTAAGGAATGTGTGTGTTGTGAAAGCACCGAAGGACCAAAAGGTTGTGTTCTGAAAGCATGAGAGGATAGGAAGGAGCAGGGAGAGGACGACAGGACGGAGCAGACGACAGGACGGAGCAGGGAGAGGAGTGGAGTCGAGCTGACAGGCAGCATAACAGGCTCGGTCTGTGAGGCGTCTCAAAGCAACCTGCAGCAGCGTAGGCTCAGGTTGTGAGACGTCTCAAACAAACCTGCAGCATAGGATCGGTGGGTTGCATGGCGAGGAGCTGGAGCATTGCTGAGCTGGCATTTCTGTCATCCAAAGGAAGATGATGGGGACGGACAGGACGGACAATAAGTTGGCATCGTGCATGCATGCATGGGTGCATGCATGGGTGTGTGCATGGGTGCATGCATGGGTGCGTGCATGGGTGCGTGCATGGGTGCGTGCATGGGTGCGTGCATGGGTGCGTGCATGGGTGCGTGCATGGGTGCGTGCATGGGTGCGTGCATGGGTGCGTGCATGGGTGCGTGCATGGGTGCGTGCATGGGTGCGTGCATGGGTGCGTGCATGGGTGCGTGCATGGGTGCGTGCATGGGTGCGTGCATGGGTGCGTGCATGGGTGCGTGCATGGGTGCGTGCATGGGTGCGTGCATGGGTGCGTGCATGGGTGCGTGCATGGGTGCATGCATGGTGTGCGTTATGGATGTGAAAGTGCATGTGAACGAACGGGGTGGACCAGTGTTCAAGAATGCAACCATGTACACGAAAGACACAGAGAGAGCGGAGAGCATGTGGGTGTAAGGTGCAAACTAGAGCATGTCGATGCACTTTCCCTCAAGGTCGTACAGAACAGTGAATCATCTTAAAAGCAGAAACTTCTGACTCAACCGGAAAATCTGAATGATCTGAAATCTCTGAATGACTCGAATCGTCAAAGCTATCATCTAAAAATACAAATCAGTTAGCCATGACGTCTGTCCGATTCATTCTGTGCAACAGAGTCGTCCTCACCGTGGCAGGGCCCGTTAGAGCATCCCGCACCACAGTATTCGTCAGTGCTTCCACAATAGCCCCACTGGCTGCGGGTAACCGAGGGTGAGGGAAGAGGCGGGGGAATGAGGGTCACGGCCAAGGCGGGCGGAAAGGGAACGAGTGGTGGAAGAGAAGACGGGGAGAGATGGGAAGGACGAACTTGAAGAAATAAAGGCGTTCGATGTGAAACTGCTGCCAGGCGATGAAACGGAGGATGCTGCTACTAGTGGTGAAGGCAACGCGCTATTTATGAACTAACGGGCTTAAAAGATGAGGATGGGCTTGCATAGGCATGACTGCGTGTTCTGAAAGCAGACGTCTTAGAATTAGCATCCGATGACAGTTGTCCTGAATGCAGAGTCCTGGGACGTTTCAAAGCTGGTTTATGACTGTTCTACAAGCAGAATCTCAAGAGGTCTCAGAAAATTTGCTTCTGAAAGCACCAAACACCGAAAGCGGCCTCCGAAAGCATGAAGGAGCAGGGGGTGTGCTGGAAGCGCGAATCCTGCTGATCAGCAAACCCTCCAGTGGAGGCGACTCAAAATCGCGTCGACTTACCTGTTGCAGGGCTCGGCGGTTTACAAGGCGAGGAGCTCGAGAAGATGAGACGTATTGTGTGTTCTGAAGCATCATGAAACGACATAAGGTGATCTGCAGCTTGATAGGCCCGAATTTGAGACGCCTAGACCGACCTGCAGCATAGGCTCGGCGGGTTACAAGGGTATATGCTTGAGCATGTTTGTTGAGCACGCGCCGCTGGCACCATATTTAATGCGATGATGGCGGTGGAGATTAATAAGGTGGCGGAGCCGCGAAGCGCGCTCGCCGCAAGGAAGCGATGTGAAGGAGCCATGGAAGCTAACAAGGACACTGAGTCCGCTGGTAAGAAAATATTTGCCTTTTGCCTGTGCTGGCTGAAGAACGAAGAGTGATATTCTGCGGTGCCTTGTGCCTGTTTGTGCTGGCTGAAAAACCAACAATTATTGTAGTAGTCAGGGAACAACGATGTGGAGTGGAGCACCCAAAGCTGGCTGGAAAGCCACAATTATCGTAACATGTCGACGACCATCGCGACACTCGTCAAACCCACAATCGTGGCTCTTTTCTTCGCGAAACATTCACGCCCTGATACAGTACCAACGACATACGCACTATTTGGAGTTACTGCCCCAAGGCCCGAGAGTTTGGAAATTCGCGGGGTGAAGGCAATGCCGTTACAGCAGGAGGCCATTGGCCTTGCCGCGCACGGCAGGCGCTTGGTTCGACCAGCTCCATTCGGACTGAGAGAAACTGCGTTTGACCTTCAGCTCCATTCGCTTGCTACCGTACTGGAAATCTGGGTCCGGAAAAATGCCATAGCAACCTGCTACTGTACTGGAAATGCCAACAGATGATTCTCGCTCTGTTGATTCAAATAGCTTCTGCATACACTTCAGATTAATAAACATCCTCTAAAATTCCAGTTACGACTGCCGATGCTTTGTGCATTTCCTATAGTGTATCATTGCATCTAAAAAAATCCTCTAAAATTCAAGTCAACGATTAATTTCATTTTAGTGTTTGAATTCGTTACAACTTATGAGTCTATAGAATTGATCGCGTAATCTTCTTTCTATCTTTCATTTCGAGGAGGGCTGCGTCGTCGTGGATGAAACAGACCCAAGCCACCAAATCGGTCGGGTTCGATCTACCCAAATCCAGCCAGCCGATTGGGACGACCAGACTGATGCGATCCAACCCGATCGGGTTGCGATGAGCTACCTGAGCTGGCAGTGAGTAAATCTCGCAGAAAGCTCGTTCGGAATTTGCGTACGAGGCAAGGTGTCGGAGTAACAAAATGCTCGGCGAGTTGTTGATTCTCGCCATAAGCCTGCAGGGAAACCTCGCCATAAGCCTGCAGGGAAACCCTGTAAAAAACTCTGATTTTTTTCATAGTCCGAGCCGCGATGGTTTGGTCAGCCCCGAACGACCAAGGCCGACCCGAACCAACCCAATTGGGCTGGATTGCAACACGTTGTAAACCTCCCTTCGTTGTGGCTCTCCTGGGAAAACTCTTCTGTGCCTCCTCAACTCCTGCCAAATTCATGGGACAGTTCATGTCCGCTCATTTCGACAGCAGCTCGCTTCGTCACTGTTCTGCAATGGCGTAGCCGAGGTACGATCCCTTCGTCAAACCGTCCGATCGCACAATCCTGGCTCTAACCTCCGCGATCGACACATCACAGATTATCCCTTGACCTTGGATGTTATTTTGTAGTTGATTTGATTTCCATGGCTCCTCCCTGGTGGAGCCTCACTGCTCGACGCTTCACGGCTGCCATGTCGGCGTCGCCCGCTGCTACGATAGCGACAGCCGGGGCCGCCGCCGCCGCGTCGCTTGCAACAGCCTCATATCTCAACGCCGCCCCCGTCATTATTTCGGATTATTCCGCGTCGCGATCCGCGGATTCCGCTTCCGCTCGCGCCTCCTCCATTGAAGCGCAGCACGGGAGGGTGATGAGCCACGTGGCATCATGCGAGGGGGGCGCAACAGGCGCGGGATCCGTCCCCGCGGGATCGGGGGAGAGCGGAGGCGGCGCAACGGGGGATAGCGGCGGGGGTAGCGGGAAGGAGGCGGTGAGAGCGATGGGCGGAGCGGGTGGCGCGGAAGGGGAGAGCGCGCCAGGTGTAGGCGGAGCGGGGCACCAGGCGGGATCCGCGGCGATCTTCCCGCTAAAGCTACTACAGGTACAGTCACACAGTCACACAGTCACACAATCCCACAAACACAAAGTCAAACACGGTTACGATCACATGTAGATTTACAGTCAAATGTAGAGTCGCGGTGTGTCAGTGGCTGTGTAACAGGGGAAGGAGTTAGTCAATTTTATATTCCCTGTGACTTCCCCACAACTGGGCTGAGCTTCCAGACCCCTGGTTCTTGTCCTCGGCGCGCGCTTCCCTAATTACCTCCTTCCTTCTGCACTGCTGGTCTCTCCATCACGCTTTTGAGTCGACTCAAAAGTTACCTCCTCTTTTCTGCACTGCTGGTCTCTCCATCGCACACCTACAAATCTTTTTCCCCCTCTTCCCCCTCCCTCTAACCTCTCCTTCCCCCCGTCCCCCACCTCTCATCCCCTCCCCCACTCGTTTCCCCCGCTTCCCCCGCTCTCTCCCCCTCCCCCCCCAGGTGCACGTGATGTTCCGCCACGGCGACAGGGCGCCCATGCCACGTGGCACGCCGTCAGAGGAGGAGGTGGCGCGGTGGGAGGCGAGGCTGCAGCCACGCCCCCCCGCGCACGTGCTGCCTCATAGGCAGCACACACGGGGGATAGAGTGGCCGTTCGGCCAACTCACCAGGAAAGGTGCGCGGGTGGAACATTTGTGGGAAATGCCTTTTACCTTTTATTCTATATTTTCATTCTTGGGAACATGCTGCGCGTGCGTTTCATAGTTTCGGGGTTCAGGTTTTGGGAGAGACAGAGTAGTCGTCACAGTCACAGTCACAGTCACACGAACCTGGTGTCTTTCCCCGCCTCTTGCATCTCATCTTTCCTTTCGCGTGCAATGGCTGGCTCATAGGAGCACGGAAGACGGAAATAACTCGTGATTCGACTCAGAGTTCATTCATACCCTCCCTCCCTCCCCTCTCTATGTCCCTTTGTGCCATCACTCATCCTCGACTTTCTCCCTTTCTCCCTGTGCGCGTGTGCTGGGTGGGTGGCAGGAGCACGGGAGGCGGAGTCACTAGGATGCGCGTTGAGGCAGAGATATGCTGCTCTGCTAGGCCTCTCAGACGCACACGGCTCTGCTGCCAGTGCGGTCGCGGCTGCTGCTGCTGCTGCTGCTGCTGGCAATGGTGGTGTGGTGGATGCTACACAGGCTGCAGCAGTGAGTGATGCTGCTGCTGCCCAAGGCTCCGGCACCCACAGCAGCAGCAATGGCAGCAGCGGTAGCGACAGCGACAGCGACAATAACAGCAGCAGCAGCAGCAGCAGCAGCAGCAGCACAGCGCCAGCAGCATCATCCCTGATCAGCATTCGCTCTACCAACTTCCCTCGGACCTACATGACCGGTGCGTGTGCCTCGACCCGCCTTTTCTCCCCCTCTCCTCCCTGCCTCACTCCCTCTCTCCCTCTCTCCCTCATCGCTCGCCCTACAACTCCCTCACTCACTCCCTCACCGCCTGACCGCCGCTGTTTTCCAAGAGGCAACAGGTATCACCACATGTGTCCATCCGCCCCACCCCCATGTTTCACATTCCCCTCCTCTTCCCCGTCTCCCCATCTTTCCCCCCTCCTTCCCCATCCCGTCCCCTCGTGCTCTCCCCCAGGCTTGTACGTGCTGCAGGGGCTGCTGGGGTCTCAGGGGCGACTTTTGAGGTGCCTCAAAAACCTTCTCCCCTCCCATTGGCCCTCTCCCCCAGGCTTCTACGTGCTGCAGGGGCTGCTGGGGTCGCAGGATCGGGCAGTGCAGGTGCCCATTAATATATGGGGCGAGGGCCAGGAGAACCTCTATGAGAACGACCGCTGCGCCCGGTGAGGAGGGGGGTTGGGGGAGGTGGGGGGTTGTAAGGAATGGGGGGTGGTGTGAGTTTGGGGGGGGAGGGGTGATGGTGGGGGGTGTGGAGGGGAGACGACGTTTTAGGCAGCGCAGGTGCCTGTTAGCATATGGGGCGAGGGCGAGGAGATCTTCTATGAGAACGACCTCTGCGCCAGGTGAGGAGGGGGAAAGGGGGGGGGGGGGGATGGGGAGAAAGGGGGGAATGAGGGAAAGGAGGGCAAGGGGGGGAAGGGGAAAAAGGGGGAAAAGGAGAAAGGAGGGGAAAGGGGGGAGGGGGGTGAAGGGGCGCAGGTGAGGTGGCAGCAGCATCAGAATCACCAGTATCAGCCTCAGCACCATGCTCCCATGTCACCACTCACAGTCGACTTTTAAGTCGACTCAAAAGTCAGCCTCAGCACCACGATCCCATGTCACCTTAGAGAAGAGAATTCTCAAATCTTTCAGCACCATGCTCCCATGTCACCACTCACAGTCATATGGGTGTGATGCTGATGCACCTCTGCCCAGTGCCCACCCGCGTGTGATGAGTCCGTTATTTAGTCGACTCAAAAACAGACTCTTCCCATGCCACCACGCACAGTCATATGGGTGTGATGCTGATGTGGCTCTGCCCAGTGCCCTGCCCACCCCTGCTCATCTCGCCCCTACCCGTGTGACCACCACGTGTGACCATGGCAGGGGTGTGATGCTGTGGGGGCGCGCATGGAAGGACTTTCATCACCATCATCATCACCACCATTAGCATCATCCCTGCCCGTCTCACCCCTATCCGTATGACCACCACGTGTGTGTGACCATGGCAGGGGAGTGATGCTGTGGGGGCGTGCATGGAAGGACCTCTCGCGCTCTACACGCAACCCCGATGGCTCCTTCTCTGACCTAGGCTGGCGCGCTCAATACCAGGTGGGTTTCTGAGACGTCTCAGAAATAATTTCTGACCTTTGCTGGCGTGCGAGGTAGCAGGTGGGGGCAGTAGCAGGTGGATAGTTGTTTGGAATTCTTAAGAATCTCTCCCAGGGGAGGTGAAAACAGAGGGAGGTGCAAACAGAGGGAGGTGCAAACAGAGGGAGGTGCAAACAAAACAGAGGGATGTGCAAACAGAGGGAGGTGCAAACAGAAGGAGGTGCAAACAGAGGGAGGTGCAAACAGAAGGAGGTGCAAACAGAGGGAGGTGCAAACAGAGGGAGGTGCAAACAGAAGGAGGTGCAAACAGAGGGAGGTGCAAGCACAGGGAAGTGCGCACAGAGGGAGGTGCAAACAGGCGGGGAGCAGGGAGAGGCGAGAGGTGATGTGAGCGGGAGTGTGAAGTGGGCAGGGTGTGATGGATGCACATTGTTGTTGGGATAACCATCCTCTGTCTCCCATTCCCCCCACGCCCCACCCCCCCCAACGCCCCCTGAGCAGCATGTGAGGGATTCAATGCGTTCCTTCTTCAACCTCCCTGATGGCCGCTTCCCTTGGCTCTGGGTACGCTTTGATTGCGCCGTCTAACATTCTCTCTTTTGCCCTCTATCACCATCACTCTCTCTTTTGCTTGTGATAAGTCGATTTTTGAGTCGACTAAAAATTCCCTTGGTTCGACTTTTGAGAATTCTCAAAAGTCACACCAAAAATCTCTTGGTTCTGGGTACGCCTTGCTTCCGCCCTCTGCCATTCTCTCTGGTTTGCCCTCTACCAGCATGACTCTCTCTTTCTCTCTGTGCGCCATCCCCCAACCAATGCGGTCCCTGTTCTATTCAGGGATCACAGGGGGCGTTAGGGATCACATCACACCCACTCTCAAGATCTTGCTTGCCTGATTTATACTAATTCTTGTTCTCTTCACACGAGCTCGTTTATGCTCACAGCGATTGCCTTGTGCAACTCTAAGAGGACATATACCCTCTGGACGGCGAGCGTCCAGCGTATATACGCTAAGATGGACGCTCGTTGGACGCTGGACCCTCGCCCCGAGCCCGATGACAAAAACTGAACCAGATCCGACAATTTTTCATTGCAATTTCAGTTGCCACCGCATTTCACCCCTTCTAATCTAGCAAACCCAACTCTTCAAGTAGGTCGACTATCTCTGGCAGGCTTATCTCCTGACCAGAGATAGTCGATTAATAGGTTTTATGGCCTAACTCACCCACGTTCAGGTTACTCTCAACAGTCAGGGAACTTAATCTTAAAACGTTTTTTCTTTACAAAGTCACCTATACCGCATCCGTTAAGTTGTTAACGTCCACCAGCGCGAATGCATGGCGGATCCTGGTACCTCGAATGCTGCTGCGCTCCCAACTCACCATCCATGCAAGGCTCGTTGAGCAAGTACCGTGTGTACGATCCTAATAGTACTCCCCCTACATTTCAGCACTATCACATTTTCACAAAGGCGGGCGTGAAGGGAAAGCAACTGGAGTGCAACTTTTGCCAACCCACTTTCGCCCACAGCCATAGCCGTTGCACTACTTACCTTGCTGAGTGGCCGGGCCAGGGACACCGCGTGGTGCGGATTTGCACTACCGTTTCCACAAAAGTTGCCGATGCAATCCGCACATGGCGTGCGTTTCAAAGTATCTTTATCGGGTCGCAAGGAGTCCCTATGGCAACTGCATTGCCGGAAGAGGCTCTTCGATCTCCATGAGGACCTCCTCCGATTAGTAGAAGGCTCTATTATTTGCGGCGATATGGACACTGAGACACAATTGTTGAGAGCACTAAAGCACACCGTCGCAGAGATTTTAAGTGCATGCTGGAGCTTATGAATGATGGCGTGGACTATCAAGCCTTCGCACAACTTCTCCAGTGGTGTCCAAGCGTGATAAGCCTGTAGCTAGTAGTAGAGGCTGAGCAGGAGCTTGACAGCGATAAACCGCACATGCGATTGCATCATACCCACATTTTTTACGGCCTCAAGTTTGACAGGCCTGACCATGTGGTGCCCCTGTCACCCACATGAACTGGACTAGGTCGATCATCTGGCTGTTTGACAAGGACTCTATGTTGAGACCGGCTTCTCGAACAGCCAGATGATAGTCGTAGTTCAGTTTGTGTGGGTGACAGGGACACCACATGGTCAGGCCCTCACTGTCAAACTCGAGGCCATAAAAAAAATGCTCATGATGCAATCGCATGTGCGGCTTATCGCTGTCAAGCTCCTGCTCAGCCTCTGCTACTCGCCACACGCTTATCACGCTTGGACACCACTGGAGAAGTTTCGCGAGGGCTCGATAGTCCACATCATCATTCATAAGCTCTAGCATGCACTGAAAATCTCTGCGACAGTGTGCTTTAGTGCTCTCAAAAAAGTGTGTCTTAATGTCCATATTGCCGCAAATAATAGAGCCTTCTACTAATCGGAAGAGGTCCTCATGTAGATCGAAGAGCCTCTCCCGGCAGTGCAGCTGCCATTGTGACTCCTTGGTGACGTGATAAAGAAACTTTGGAACGCACGCCATGTGCGGATTGCATCGTCCCAGAGGAGGTCGAGGATGAAGAGGAGGAGGAGGATAATCGGGTGATTGCTGATGAGCATTTAGCACCCTAGCCCTGTTTCCTAAAAAAACATGAAGGCAGTGGGAGTTCGTCTAGATATAGTAGGGTTCTAGTGGATGGGTTAGGGTGTGTGTGTGTGTGTGTGGCATGATTGGTTGTGTGTGGAAGCTCACAATTTATTTTTTGCCTGCCCGAGCCAAGCGCATATCTAGCTTCCGGGCCTGGACATCAGAACGTCCAGCGTATATACGCTAGCGTCTAGGACGTTGGACGCGTCCATGTCCACTTAGGTGCAACTATTCTCCATTGCTCCCCCTCTCTCCCCTCCCACTCCCCGCCCCCCTCCTCCTTCACTCTCTCTGTGTCTTTGCTCACTCCCTACCATCCGCATTCCCGACCCCCTTCTTTTCCCCCTCGTTCCTCCTTTCCCCTTTCCTCCTCCCTCCCCCTTCCCCTTCCCTCCCCATTCGCCCCCCCCCCACCTCCCCCCGCATCAGTCAGTGGACTATGCGGACTGCAGGCGCCATCACGGGGACCCGCTTCCCCCAGGGCTCACCCCTACTCTGCTCGACACCTTCCGCTTCCACCTCGCGCAGGACTACATGCGCACCTTCTCTGTACGCCCCTCCTCTCTGCTCTGCTCTATTCACATTATGCCATCGCACACTAGCTCTCTCCCTTCCGCTTCCACCTCGCGCAGGACTACCCGCGTACCTTCTCTGTATGCCCCTCCTACTCTTTTCTGCTCTTTCGGTTAGGCCTGCTTGTTCCTTTTTTGCAGATCCCAGCCATACCACTTATCTCCTTGCTAAAAAATCAATGCACGTGCGCGTTCTCACCGTTCCTCCCTCACACGCCAGCATCCCTGAATCCCTCTCCTCCTCCTCATCCTCGTCTGCGCCAACCACTTTGAAGTCAAGTTTCGATGCTACCTACCTACCCCAGTAGGTGCCAAGATGTTACCTACCCCAACCACCAGCACCAGCACCAGGAGATTAGTCTTCTCCGTGAATGAGCCGTGAATGAGCCCGAGGTGCTTTTCCAGTTGACCTGAACTGGTTCCTCCTCTCTTCTGTCTCGATCCTCAAGGCCCCCCCCTTTCGCCCTTTGCCGTCTCTCCCGCCACCAGCACCAGGAGATCTGTCGTCTGGCCATGGGCCCGCTCCTACACGAGGTGCATGAGTTCTGAGTCGACTGAAGGGCGCCTCAACTTTTGAGGACTTGGGAGGCGCCTCAAAAACCCCCACGACCCCACCTCCCCCTCTCCCCTCCTCTCCCGCCACCAGCACCAGGAGCTCTGTCGCCTTTCCATGGGGCCGCTCCTACAACTCATGGAAATGCATGAGGTTTTAGTCGACTGAAAAACTCATGGGGCGCCCCAACTTCTGAGGTCTTGTGACGCGCCTCAAAAACCCCCATGACCCCACCTCCCCCTCTCCCCTCTTCGCCGCCTCTCCCGCCACCAGCACCATTAGATCTGTCGTCTGGCCATGGGCCCACTCGTGCACGAGGTGCCTTTGGAGTCGACCTAAACATGTGCTTTCTCTCTCCTCTCTCCGTCCTCATTACCCCCCTTCTCCCTCTCTCCCGCCACCAGCACCAGGAGATCTGTCGTCTGGCCATGGGCCCACTCGTGCACGAGGTGCCTTTGGAGTCGACCTAAACATGTGCTTTCTCTCTCCTCTCTCCGTCCTCATTACCCCCCTTCTCCCTCTCTCCCGCCACCAGCACCAGGAGATCTGTCGTCTGGCCATGGGCCCACTCGTGCACGAGGTGCCTTTGGAGTCGACCTAAACATGTGCTTTCTCTCTCCTCTCTCCGTCCTCATTACCCCCCTTCTCCCTCTCTCCCGCCACCAGCACCAGGAGATCTGCCATCTGGCCATGGGCCCGCTCCTGCACGAGGTGCACGAGAGCATGAAGGTGTCTCAAAAGTCTTCATGCCCCCCCCTCTCTCCCTCTCCCCCTCTCCCCCTCTCCCCCTCTCTCCCTCTCCCTCTCTCCCCCTCTCCCCCTCTCCCTCTCCCCACCTCTCCCCCTCTTCGCCGTCTCTCCCGCCACCAGCATCAGGAGATCTGTCGTCTGGCCATGGGCCCGCTCCTGCACGAGGTGCATGAGAGCATGAAGGCAGCCATTGCTCGTACCGCCACCACCAGCAGTGACAGCAGCCACAGCAGCAGCTTGATGCCACTCTCAAGTGGTGGTGGTCTATCCCCATCATCCCCACCAGCAGCAGCACCACCTGCATCATCACCTCATCCACGCATCTTCCTCTATTCAGGCCATGATGCCACCCTCATGCCCCTCTCAGGTACATTTCCCCCTCCCCTTCTCTCTCCTGTGCTTCTATCTCCTCTTCTCACTCCTCTTCTCTCTCCCTCCCCGCTCTCACTCTCGCTCCTTACTCCCTTCCATCCAAGTTCCAACCCTGCTCGCTCCCTCCTCTCTCCAATTCCACGTGCTTTCTCCAAATCTCCTTCCTGCCTCTCTTGTCTCGACAGGCACATGTGTCAGGTGCCACAGTAACAAAGTGACTTTCGAGTCCTTTTTGAGTCGACTCAAGAATCTCCTTCCTGCCTCTCGTGTCTCAACTGGCACATACATATCTTGCTTTATTCCCTGTATCACTTGCACACTCGCCCTCCACCGCCCCTCGTCCGTCGTTCCTCTCACCCTCTTGGCTCTGGAGCTCTGGAAACTGTCAGACTCTGCCTCCCTTATTCCCTTCTTGTAGCTCTTTTGAGGCGCCTCGAAACTCCTCACCCTTTTGGCTCTGGAAACTGTCTGTCCTCCCTGATTTCCTTCTTTACTAAAACTCATTTCCCTCTTTTCTCCTTCCCCTCCCCTCTTCCCCCCTCTTTCCTCTTTACTCTCCTCCACCATCCCACTCCCAATCCCACTGCATCATTCCCAATCCAACTGCCCCATTCCCAACCGCACTGCAGTGGCACTCGGCTGCCCGTACCCTTTCTGGCCCGGCTATGCATCCTCTATAGCGCTGGAGCTCTGGGCTTCAAATGACAACTCCACCCACTACGTGAGAGTGCTCAGGAACTTTGAAGAGGTTGGTATGCCCACGCACACACCCCCTCCTGGGGGCTCCTGGGCCGATATGCCTGCCTCCGCTGCTGCTGCCGCTGCTTCTGGTGGTGGTGGTGCTGCTGCTGCTGCTGATGCTGCTGGTTCTGCTGGTGATGGTGTGGTGTTGTGTCCCTGGGATCAATTCGCGCGCATTTTAGAGTGGAGTGAAATCAGCAAGGAGCACTACGAGAGGGATTGCCATGTTGCCAAACCCAGGCTCTGACAGGCTGAAACGGCCCTGCCTGACTTAATTTCATAACATACCTTTGCTTATGAAGAGAGGTCAAACCTTATTCACGAGATGCAGCTTATTTCAAATGATAATCTCAACTTGATCAAGTGTGACCTTTGGTGGTCCTAGTATAGCGAGAACCATATAGGGCGACTCCACTGTAACGAATTTGGTCGGCGGTTTGGTGTGCCTGCTCCGCCTGGTTTGGCGAGCTTTGTGATCTCCGAACCTGGTTTGTTGGGCCTGCTCCGGTGGTTCTCTTGTGTAGTGTGATCTAGTCCCCCATTCCATTTCCCTTCCCTTCCCTGTCCAGCCCAGTGTTATCAACGGCTCATGCCACCCACTAAGAAACAGTGAGTGACGCAGTCAGCCATTGATACTGTATTGTGTAATTGCTGAGAACTAATCCTCCTGTTTGCTCGTACAATACAGTACCAAGGTAGGTGCTGGATCTGAGACTCATCAACTAATCGGCAATTCTCAGCCTGATCTGTTGGATTATAGTTTCAACGTAGCTTATACATAGTGATCACTCTCCCACCTTGACCATCATGGAGCCACCCACGCACATCCACGACCTTCCAGACGAGATTCTCGCGAGGATCTTTTGGCATTCTGAGCAGCCTATTCCTAGACAAACGAGCGGCGACTGCGTGTGGGATTTCCACTCCTTAAGTCATGTTCCGAAGTACGTCTCTGCAAATAGTTCTTTCAAAAAAACTAATCGTGAAGAGAAGAAGACTCCGTTACCCGTTCCTCCTCCCTCTGCGGACGCGCACCGTGTTCTCCTCGTCGCGGCCGTCTGCCGTCGCTGGCGCGGTCTCACTCAGCGTTGCGTCTCCGCGCTTCACGTCCGGAACAATCTCGTCGTGTCTCGCCAGGCTCTCGCGAGTGCTGTCGCTGCGTTACCGAACCTGACCCATCTCCACCTCTGCGACGGCAGCGTAGAGACTCTCGACGACGCCTTTTTCGCTCACCTCGCGTCGTCATGTCCCAACCTCGCGATCCTCCACGTTGGAAGCAAAATCGCTCCTGTTAAGTGTGAAGATTCTTATGCCGGTGAATGCGAGAAGGACGCGCAACCTATTACAAACGCTGGCCTGGATTTCTTTTTTCGGCACTGCACTCGGCTAGAGCAGCTTTCACTATACTGCCTCGACAATTGTGTCAACTTCCCCGCTTCCTTCTTTCAGCTGCCGCATCTGCACACTCTCGCGCTCACAAATGCTTCACCGCTTGAAACTCCCAATTTCGCTAGCCTTACATCTCTCACCAGCCTGCACGTTGCCTCCAAACGTATTCCCTTGGAACGAGTGGCAAGCATCGTTCGCCTCTCACGCATCACCACCTTTTCAGTCCCAGATGAAGCTGTAGCATTTGACCGTGATTCCATGGTGTCTGCAGACTTCGACAAGGCTCAGCTGGAAATGCCAAGTCGTCAAGGTTCAGCCAGGTGGTCCCGTGTGCCGGCATAGTACAGCTCGAGATTTTCCTGGAGAAATGCCTTTCGCCTAGACCCTTTCAGCTTGGAGAGGTGATGCCGAATCTTCGCAAGCTGACTCTTCGCCAGAGTTGCTGGGATAATGAGCCTGAGCCAGTAATGACTCTAAGCTTTGCCTCTTCAGCTCTCTTGGAGAGCTTGGCTCTTACTGAGTGCACGCGGATTCACAGCCTGCCGGAGGACATCGGATGCTTGCATGCCCTGAAGTCTCTTGTGCTGCACAAGCTGTCTCTCGTGGCCCTCCCGGACTCCCTCTGCCATCTGCCTTCCCTCGAGACGTTCGTTCTCGTCGAATGCACCACCAGCCCTCATGTTCAGCAGCTGCCTAAAGCTTTCTGCTGCCTCACGTCGCTCCAGTCCCTCGCCATCGTGAGGATGCCTTGGGTGAGGCTTCCGGAGAACATTGGAGAGCTCCCAAGGCTGCACACGCTGTACTTGAATAATTTGAACCAGCAGCCGCAACTGCCGCTCTCCTTCACCAAGCTGACTTCCTTGACCAGGCTTGAACTGAGTTTGTGCATGATTCGTGAGCTTCCCCGAGGACTTGGGGGACATGATTAATCTGCAGGAATTGCACATTTACTCCTGCCCTGTCCAGAAGCTTCCAGAGTCACTCACAAGCCTCTCGAACCTTGAAGCTCTAACGGTTGATTCATGTACGAGTCTCATCTCAGTTCCGGGGAGGCTAGAGAGCCTTGGGAAGCTCAAACGGCTGGAGCTGACTGTGTGCCCTGATCAGACTAAACCTCCTATGTCTCTCCCGTACTCCCTCGAGGTCTTAGCTCTTGGAAACAGCTACCACGTGGCTGATCTGCCAGACGTCTCCCTTCTGCCTTGGCTGAGAAAGCTCAGCCTAACTCTGGTTGGTGCGGAGGAGAGAATGGCTGTTAGCAGCAGCTTTGCGCGCGTGAAGCAGTTGGAGTTAGCACTGCAGGAGGAGGCTGTGGAGCTGCCCTTCTCCCTTGCGCTGCTCCCCCAGCTGCACACGCTGGTCATTTGGTATGCGAGGAAGATGCAGCAGCTTCCAAGCGACATGGGATGGGCTGTGCCGCAGCTGAGGGTTCTGCAGATCCACTGTGCGCGGGAATGGAGGGAGCTGCCAGAGAGTATTGGCGCTGCTTCCCGCCTGCGCCAGTTGCACCTCTTTGACTGCCCCGCCCTGCACCACCTGCCTGCTTCCCTCACCCGGCTCTCATGTCTCCACGAGCTGCATGTGGAAAGCACCGGCCTGCGCTGCCTTCCTTCAGGGTTTGCGCAATTGACCAGGCTGCACAGTCTTAGTGTGCTTGGTTGTGTGCGGCTGCAGGGTCTGCCAGAGGATCTAACGGAGCTGAAGTTGCTGCGATTATTGAGAGTTGGAGGTTGCAACACGCATGTGTGCGCTGCGCGGAACGAAGATTTGAAACCTAGTGGGCTCCAAGATATGTATGGATTGAAAATAGAACGTTATTAGTGGTAGAATTACATGGCTTGGCTGTTTTGTTGGTGGCTGAGCAGTCTTCATAAAATCCCAGAGAAGGTGCTTTGATGTGTACCAGGGTACAACAAGGCAAGTCAAATGGTTGAATGCCTAGTCGTGCTTGAGCATTACTTCACTCAGCCTCCCCAGCCATACCTTTTTGCCTCCTCCGCCTCGCAGCTGGCCCCACCTGCTCCGGTTTCCCATACTTCCCCCTCACCACATGCACTCTTGATCCGCACACCTCCACATCTCCCCCCTCTTGCGCCAACCCGCTTGCATACACATCCACATGTCTCAGTGCTTTAGCTTCTCCAAGCGAACTTGGTAGAGTTTTTAGCGCGAAACACTGCCGTAACTGAAGCACCTCTAAACGAGGCAGCTGACCCATGTGGGGGGGGAGGGAGTGCAGCTGCTTGCAGAGGCTGAAGCAGGCCACGCGGAGAGAAGGGAGAGCTGGGAAGGAGGCGGGCAGATGAGTGAAAGAATGCACTGGGTAATTTCCAGTCGGGTCAATCGGAGTAGCGAGCCAAAGCAGGCGGGCAGATGAGTGAAAGAATCACACTGGAAAATTATAAGTCGGGTCAACTGGAGTAGCGAGCCAAAGCCGTCAGGGAGAGTGGAAAATTTCGGGCAGTTTGTGATGGTGAGGTGGACGAGGGACGCCAGGGCAGAGAAAGAGTCGGGCAAATGGTGGAAAACTCTGCACTCGCGAATGGAGAGGCGCTTGAGGGATACTAGTGCGTCGAAATTCGCAAGGCAGGGAGATTAGGTCGTCGTAGTGCGTGATTGTAAGCGTGTGGAGGCGGGAGAACTGGCAAAAAGCGGGCGGCAAAGAGGTGATACTCGATCCATGATTCAAGGTGGCTTCTTCAAGCGAGGGCAAGCCGCAAAGGGGGTCCAGAAACGAAGGGGTCCTTGTCCACGTTATCGACAGCTTCTTTAGCGCTCCAAGGGAGCCGAAACCAGGCGGCAGCTGCTTCATACCGTTGCATGCCTCGATCGCCAGCTCCTCTAAACTAATCAGCTTGTAGAACTTCGCAGGCAGCTGTCTCAAGTTATCGCAGTTGAAATGAAACTTCTTCAGGGAGGGTAACTCGCAGAGTGACATCGGGGGTGCGTTATGCCACGAGCATCCTCGCAGCTCTAACCGCTCCAGCTTCTGCAAAAGGCGAATATTCTTAGGAAGGTCGATATGGTCTAGACGCAATCCGTCAGAATAATCCACTAGTAGCGTACGGAGCGCAGTTAATCTCCCGAGGTCAGGAGTCGGAAACCAGAGCTGGATGTTGGTAAGGTGAAGGTACGTGAGCGAGGAGAGGTGGAGGATGGAGTCGGGGAGCGAAGGGCAACTCTTGTCCTTACAAAACTCACGGTCGCAGTTCAGCCTAAGCGATTGCAGGGTTGGTGCGAGGAGCGCGATGGAGGAAGGGAAGTAGTGTAGGCGCCCGGAGAGCGAGAGCGAGCGGAGATTACACAGCGACCCGAGAGCTGCTGGGAGGAAGTCGGAGGTACGGAGGTTGGTGACTGTGAGGTGGGTCAGCCACTCGAGCGAGCATAGCCACGCGGACATAAGCAGTCGTTCCGAGCTTTGCACCCATCCCACGCTCACGTGTAGCTGACGCAGGGAGCGGCCTAGAGGCGGGTACCTCGCGCGGCTTGCGGCAGTGGAGGCGGCAGCGATTTCTGCGGCAGTGTCGGGACCGTCTGTTCCAGGAAAACGCTCGAGATGCTGTTCCCTTTGTAGGATGGACTGCCAGAACGTCGGGTTGTCTCGTTCCACCCACTTTACATAACCTACTTTAATGTACGCCAGCGACGGCAGCGCGAACAATCCCACGGGGAACGACTCGTTTACGTCTGCCTTCGCCACCTCGAGTCGCTCGAGAGATGTCAGATGGCTTAGCGACTCGAGCGACACGGCGGATTTCACTTCGTCGATGATTACGTGGCGCAGCCTAGGCGCAAAGACGACATCAAATCGGGGAGGTACGAGCACCGGGCAGCGACGGATGGTGAGAGCAGTTAGAGACTCGATGCGTGAGGCTGGGAGACTCTGTATGTTGCGACACGACTCCAGCGTAACTTCCTCCAGTTTTGTCCATTCTTCGCACGCGTCTGGTAACCGGCCGTCAAATTTTTGCAGCTCCGGTCGTCGCATTCGCTTCAGCGCGCCGATGCGGTCTGGGAAACAAACCACTTTCCAGGAACCGTTGATCTGGAGGGAGGTGAGGGACGAAAGGTCGCCGAACGACTCGGGCAACAGCCGCAGCTCCGTGCACTCCGAGAACGAGAGTTGCGCCAACGATTTCAGCTTCCCAAAAGCTTCGGGCAGCTGCTGCAGAAGCGGGCAGCTTAGATGGAGCTCTTGGAGCGCAGATAACCGGCAGATATCGTCGGGCAGCGCACGAAAGAACTTGGAGTGTAGCCGAAGCACGCGCAGCGAGGACAAGGATGCAACGGATCCTGGAAGCTTCGTCATTTGGCCGAGGCAGTGCGACAGAGTCAGCTCCTGTAACCGCGGCGCCGCCAATCGAAAAAACTTCTCCAGAGGTTTAAGACCTATTCTGAAATGTGGTGCTCCTGTGAAGCGCGGCTCGTGCAGGCTCAGGCGGGCGAGCCGCGAGGAGGTGGAGGTCAGCGAGGCAAGGAAAGCGTCGTCGTAGAAATCGAGGGCGCATTCGGCGAGAGAAACGGAGGTGATGCCCGGGGCGATGGAGAGAGTGCGGAAAAGCGCAGGCGCGGAAAGCACGGGTGCGGAAAGCGCCAGCGCAAGCTGCTTATCCCATATAGAGACCCTGTCTGAAGATGATGGCATGTGGCCTCGACCGACGCGGATAGTAGTTAGGCTTCCTAGCCAGCGTTTACACGTGACTGCGAGGTCACTAAACGTGCTGACGGTGGGCTCGTTGCCGCCGCCGCCGCCGCTACCGCTGGCACTGCTGCCATCGTTTGCGCTGTCAGCCCACCCGGAGTCCGCAACTGCACGAGTCGCAGCGAGCGAGAGGATTTTGCAGAGGAGCTCGTCTGGTAGATTGTGGATGGGCGTGTCGCACGCGCTGCGGTGAGCTGGTGGAGGAAGGTGCTCCATCGTAACTCCGTGTAGAGATGTCAGTTCGTACAGAAGAAACCTAGCTGCTGCTAAATGACGAGCTGCTGCTCTACCAACAGACACAGCTAACAAGTCATAACCAACAAAGCCACTACACGGAAATGACTTGATGATACGATTTATGCTACACAAGCAGTGGTTAGGGCGACGTCAGGTTATACATTTCACACACGCTTACACCTCCTGTATCGTGGTTCAGGACGGTCCAACACGGTGAAAAACGGTTCTCGACGATTACCGCTCTTCACCGTGTTGAAACGAAATTTACCGGAGAGGGCTAACAAAAAGTTGTACAACCTGACATCGCCCTAAGGGCGCGCGCACGAAACTGGTGGCTTCGCACTTTCTGCATGCCCGTCTGTCCATTTTGCGCGACTCGCCGGAAGATGCATCGACAATTTCAATTCAACATCCTACTTAGGTAGTGTTCCCGACACCATATTTTTCAGGGATCGTGGGTGCGTCGTTGAGCCAGTGGTGCCAATGATGTGCCGTTTGCTGCTGAACTGAGCCCTACACTGGTTGTTGATATCATCCCAACAAGACATCAAAACGGCCTCCAGATCACACGTCAAATATCCTCTGGTCAAAGAAAAGCGTGGAGATGCGACTCGAGTCGGGAGGCGGGGGAAATTCAAAACGGGAAACAAACCGTGAGGACTCACGAATCGCGATTTTCAAAACGTGTCCTCGCTGATATGCGAGTCACTAACAACCAAAGCACTCACATTATATGGGTGCTCTATCCAGTTTAGTCATTTTTTCAGTCAACATATTATCCAGCTGCCAAAAGTCGATAACGCGTGTGTGCGCGCGTGCGCATCAACAAATTGTTGTACAATATATCTAGTACAGGTACTATCCAGTTATGCCAACAAAAAACTACCAAGCGCAATAGGCTCACAAAATGACTGAAATTACTCTAGAAATATAGGCCTTGATCATGAGTACAGCACAGTGATGCAGGGAGACAAATCAAATCACTGAGTGCTTCATGCTTGAAGCATCCACTGATTCCTGATTCCGTCCCCCCTCCATACACCTTTCCCTCTTAACCTGGCTCCACACACTCCGATTTCCCACTCTTCCCCTTCATCACAAGAAATCCTGCTCCACAGACCCCCATCACCCCCCCCCCCCACTTCCGCCAACCCACTCCCATACACATCCACATGCCTCAATGCTATGGCTTCTCTAAGCGAATACGGAAGATCTTTTAGCGCCACACACTCCCGTAACTGAAGCACCTCTAGACGAGGAAGCTGACCCAGGTGGGGAGGGAGGGATTGCAGCCCCTTGCAGCGGCTGAAGCAGGCCACGCGGAGCATAGGGAGAGCGGGGAAGGTGGCGGGCAGGTGGGTGAAAGAGTCACACTGGGAAATTTCCAATCGGGTCAATAGGGGTAGGAAACCAAAGCCATCCGAGAGAGTGGTAAAACTCGGACATTATGTGATGGTGAGGTGGACGAGGGATGCCAGAGCCGAGAAGGAGTCGGGCAGATAGCGGAACGATTGGCAGCGCCTAATAGAGAGGCTCTTGAGGGATACTAGTGCTCCGAAATTCGCGGGCAGGGAGGTGATGTCGTAATTGACGATTGTAAGCGTGTGGAGGCGGTAGTGCGGCAAAGTGGTAATCCTGGATCCGGAAACGAGGGTTAAAACCCGCAGCCTGAATTACAAAAAAAGTTGGGAGGTGTTAACACTTTCCCTCCCGAACCAGGGTGGTTACCAATTGTTCACCTGCAAAACGTGCTGAAGTCGCAGGCTGCACAGGGAAGTGTCGCTCGGTTCCTGCGCAACCACTCAGGAGGTGGTGTGCACACCAAACTGTGTTTTGTAATTCAGGTCGACAGAAACCGCCTAGTCTGAGCAGCAAGCGCGACAGCCATAGCCTAGAACATCTAGGCTTTTACCCCATTCCAGCGCATGTCGGAAATTTCCGCCAAAGGGCGTTAGGACCATTACTTCACGCTTCCAATCCGTCTCTAAAGCACCCCGCGGTGCTAGGTCACGTGTCGACTCAACATAACTAGCCGGGGCCATAGTTGTACGTATGCCCGTCGTCGCCCTGGTATCACTTCCACATCGCCCACCGCACCGATGCCGCCAATGTTCATAGGCGCGGCGTCCACTCTAACCGGGTTTCACAAGTTCCAGGGACCTACTTCGTCGCATCGCTTCTTCTCCCCGTCGTCCACACTCGGACTCCTTCCTTCCCACACACGCGATCCCCTCCATCTCTCACGCTTCTTCCCTCGAACGCGCACACTCCCTTCCGTCGCCTACGCGCGGCCCCTGCCGTCGCCCACGCTCAAGACCTTCCCGTCGCCCACGGTCACTCCCGTCCCATCGCAATCGCCCGATCGAACCGTCGCCCACGACCAATCACTTCCGTCGCCCACGCTCACACCATCCCGTCGCCCATGCTCACTCCATCCCATCGCCCACGCTCACTCCCATTCCATCGCCTTCGCGCAATCCTTCGGTCGTACACACTCACCCCCGCTCGTCGCACACGGCCTATTCCCTCCCGTCGCACACTGCCTCCCATCTCCGCCTCACCCCATCTCCGCCTCACCCCATCTCCTCCTCACCCCAGCTCCGTCCCGTCGCGCGCGACAACTCCCCTTCCGCCGCCCACGCTCTCTCCCTCCCGCCGCGTTCTCTCACTCCCCTCCTGTCGCGACGATTCTCTCCGTCGCACACGCTCACTCCCCTTGAGGGGAGACCATCACTCACCCCCCTCGCTCGGCCACGCGATGTCCCTCTCCGCGCCCACGCTCACTCCTCCCGGCCGCGCACGCTCTCCCCCCAACCGTCGCCCACGCTCACTGCCCGAACTCCGCACACGCTCACTTCCCTCCGTCGCCCCCGCTCACCCCCTGCCCCTCGCCTTCTCTCATTCCCCTCCGTCGCCTATGCTCCCTCCCCATCCCTTCCCTCCCCATCCCTCATCTCCCCATCCCTCATCTCCCCGTCCCTCATCTCCCCATCCCTCATCTCCCGATCCCTCATCTCCCCATCCCACATCTCCCCATCCCGCATCTCCTCATCCCTCATCTCCCCATCCCGCATCTCCCCATCCCGCATCTCCCCATCCCGCTTTCCCCCATCCCGCATCTCCCCATCCCTCATCTCCCCATCCCACATCTCCTCATCCCTCATCTCCCCATCCATCTCCCCATCCCTCATCTCCCCATCCCACATCTCCCCATCCCTCATCTCCCCTTCCCTCACCTCTCCATCCCTCATCTCCCCTTCCCTCTCCTCCCCATCCCTCACCTCCCCATCCCTCTCCTCCCCATCCCTCATCTTCCCATCCCTCACCTCCCCATCCCTCATCTCCCCATCCCTCACCTCCCCATCCCTCATCTCCCCATCCCTCATCTCCCCATCCCACATCTCCTCATCCCTCATCTCCCCATCCCGCATCTCCCCATCCCGCATCTCCCCATCCCTCATCTCCCCATCCCTCATCTCCCCATCCCTCATCTCCCCATCCCTCATCTCCCCATCCCTCATCTCCCCGTCCCTCATCTCCCCATCCCTCATCTCCCCGTCCCTCATCTCCCCATCCCTCATCTCCCCTTCCCTCACCTCTCCATCCCTCATCTCCCCTTCCCTCTCCTCCCCATCCCTCACCTCCCCATCCCTCTCCTCCCCATCCCTCATCTTCCCATCCCTCACCTCCCCATCCCTCATCTCCCCATCCCTCACCTCCCCATCCCTCATCTCCCCATCCCTCGTCTCCCCATTCCGCCTCACCCCATTCCGCCTCACCCCATTCCGCCCCACCCTATTCCTCCACACCCCATTCTACCTCACCCCATTCCGCCCTGCCGTCCTTCTTCCCATCCTCTTTTCCTCGTTTCCCCATCCCTCCGTACCCCATCCCATCATTCCCTCTGCCTCCGTTCGCCACCCTTCCATTCCCCGTGCCTACTTTCACCATTCCACCATACGGTCATACCCCATCCCGCGACCTCCCCGTCACCTCCACGCAGTCCCCTCTCCTCCCTGCTTCTTCCCATCTTCCGCTTCGCCAAAAAGTTTGTTCTTCACCACCTCCTATACCTATCCCCTACCCATCCCCTCCTCTCCCCATCCATCCTTTCCCCATCGGTCCTCTTCCTATCCCTCCTCTTCCAAACCCATAATTTTCTCATTCCCTCCTCTCCCCCCCCTTTCCTCCATGTCTCCCATCTGACGTACCTGTCAGAAGTATAGGCAGGAATGATAAACACGAAAAGAGGAGTTTTCACTTGCATGCAGTAGAGTACATATAGCAAACCCTAATTCGGGCTGTACTCGCTACAGAGTACCCCACTGCAGGCTACACAAACATCACATTCTGACACACCCCCATAGTCAAAGTGGGGTACAATCAACACAACAAGCAGTCATAGAGCAATAGTTCACAATGATAAGCAAAGCTAGAGGCAGTCACAGAGGGCAAGTGAGGAGGAGGAGAGACTGTGAGAGGAGTGAAGATAGAAGGCGACGGGTGAAGCCGTAGACACACGGGCAACAGGAACGGCGCGCACGGTGGCTACCGGAGCACTCAACCTCCGGACTACAGGAGTAACTGGCTCCGCGCTAAGCAGCAGCAGGAGCAACAGACCCACGGGCGACTGGCAGCAGCAGGCTCGCTGGGCTACCGGAGTACTCAACCCCCGGACTACTGGCGCTGCAGACGTCACAACGGCCACCTCCTGTCAACCTCCCCCAACTGTCCCACACCCTTTTCACACACCCCCTGCAGAAACCCTAGCTCCACTTCCACGTCACCCCCCCAGCTCCACTCCCCGCGGCTCCCACACCTCCACCCCCCTCAGCAGCAGCTGCAGCAGTGGGAGACGAACAAGGAAGAGGGGAACACCCACACCGCGCACCCCCATGCTTGCCACCCCACACCCCCCACCACCGCGGAACGCACGGCGGCACGGGAGGAATGGGCAGCAGGGGGGGGGGGGGGGGGGGGGGACGGGACAGGAGGGGCCGCGCGCTCCTCCCCAGGACGCCAAGACGGACGGGCGGGGGGGCGCGCGCGGCTCCCCAGGGCGCCGCGACGGACGGGCGAGGGGCGCGCGCGGCTCCCCAAGGCCGCGTGACGGGCAGACGGGCCGCGCTCGCCCTGCAGACCCGCACGCGACCTGCAGGGCGACGCTACGGGAAGGGCGGGGGCCGCGCGCTGCTCCCCAAGGCCGCGCGACGGGCAGACGGGCCGCACGCGCGCTGCAGACCCGCGCGCGGCCTGCAGGGCGACGCGACGGGAAGGGCGGGGTGTTGCGCGCGGGTCCCCCACGGCAGAAGACCGCCGCGCGTCTCGGGGCGCACGGCGGGCAGAAACGCGCCGCGCGCCCCGAGCGCACGGCAGGAAGAAGACGGCGCGTGCCCGAGGCGCGCGAGAAGCAGAACAGCAGCGGAAGCAGTTAGGTGGCAGGCCCACCCACAGGATCGACCCAAGGGGATCGACCTGCTCTGAAACCATGTCAGAAGTATAGGCAGGAATGATAAACACGAAAAGAGGAGTTTTCACTAGCATGCAGTAGAGTACATATAGCAAACCCTAATTCGGGCTGTACTCGCTACAGAGTACCCCACTGCAGGCTACACAAACATCACATTCTGACAGTACCTCACCTCCCTCTGTTCCTCGCATCCTCAATCCTGGTTTCCACATCGCCACCCTATCTCCTCCCCACCTTCCTCCCCAGCCTCTCTTCCTCCCCTCCCTTCTGCTTCTCTCTCCCACGTCCTCCCTACCTCCCTTCCTCCCATCATCACTCCCTCCATTCCTGCATTCCTCGCTTCCTCCCTTTCTCCGTTCCTCCCTTCCTCATTTGCCAGTTGTCATTCTGTTGCATGCTTGCTTCCCTTCTACTTCAGTCAGCCATGTCCCATCTGACTTCCTGGTTTGTGTTTGTACAGGTTTGCTCTGGAAGGGTTGTGATGTGTTGGCTGTCTGATAGTAACACAACGTATAGCCATGCCATGTATTGGATCTTTTTTTATAATACAGCATTATGAGCTTATACACATGACCAATACCAAGGAGTTCAACAGTTAATATATACGATACCGTATCTGAAAAGTAAGAGGAATCACTCAACTCGAGAAGGGAACAAAGCTAGGGGATGTGTGTGTAATGTTGCTTCCCGGTTTTGTCTGCTACACTGCAAGCAATAAACCAGGCTGTGGTAAAGCCACATCTGGTGCTGGGCACCTGTAACTGCATTGGGGGGTATGGGGGTGAGTGAAGGGGGAAAGACAGTAAACGGAATGAGCAGAAGGGAAGAGAAGAAGCAGCGGGGGACAAATTGAGCAGAGGGGAAGAGAGGAACAGGGGGGAACAGAATGAGCAGAAGTGAAGAGAGTGAGCAAGGGGGAAGAGAGTGAGAAGAGAAGAAGGGAAGGGAGCAAGGGTGAAACAGAGGGAGCAAGGGTGAAACAGAGGGAGCAAGGGTGAAACAGAGGGAGCAAGGGTGAAACAGAGGGAGCAAGGGTGAAACAGGGGGAGCAAGGGTGAAACAGGGGGAGCAAGGGTGAAACAGACGGAGCAAGGGTGAAACAGAGGGAGCAAGGGTGAAACAGAGGGAGCAAGGGTGAAACAGGGGGAGCAAGGAAGGGGTTGGGGGGGAGCAGGGAAGGGGTTGGGGGGGAGCAGGGAAGGGGTTGGGGGGGAAGCAGGGAAGGGGATGGGGGAAAGCAAGGAAGGGAATGGGGGGAAGCAGGGAAGGGGATGGGGGGAAGCAGGGAAGGGGAAGAGGGGAAGCAGGGAAGGGGATGGGGGGTAGCAGGGAAGGAGATGGGGGGAAGCAGGGAAGGGGATGGGTGGAGGCAGGGGAGGGGACGGGGGGAAGCAGGGAAAGGGATTGGGGGAGTAAGTCGGAGGATGGGGGGAAGCAGGGAAGGGGATACGGGGAAACTGGGAAGAAGGGAAGGGTGTATGTGCGGGTTGGAAAGGGGGCGTGACAAGTGTGCGAGATGGGAAGGGAGAAGGGAGGGATGGCGAGGGCAACGACGAGTGGAAGGGGAGGGCAACGGGGGGAGAGAGAGACGGGGATTGCGAGGGGACGAGCGGGAGCGAGGGCGACGAGCGGCAGGGAGAGCGACGAGACGAAGGGGGCCAACGGGCGGAAGGGAGCGCGACGAGGGGAAGGAAGGGTGGCAGGCGGAAGGGAAGGCAACGGGAGGAAGGGAGGGCGACGAGAAAAGGGGAGAGTGTATGGGGGCGCTGTGGGAGAGTGTATGAGGAGAAACCAACCGGCAGAGCCTTCATGTGCCAGCACTCGATAAGCTCCAGCTCCTCTAAACGAGTCAGCTGCGAAAACTTCGCAGGCAGCTGCTTCAAGTCTTCGCAAGTGAGATGAAGCTTCTTCAGGGAGGGTAACTTGCAGAACGATGGTGGGAGTCCCTTCATCCACAAAAAAATCCTTCAGCTCTAAGACTTCGAGCTTCCCCAAGCAACCTATGTTCTTCGGAAGGTCGATGTGGGCTCGAAACCCGCGGCAATCGTCGTAGTTCACGCGTAGCCTACGAAGTAGGGCTAATCTCGAGATGTCAGAGATTTCTCCGAAGCTGCGGGCTAGATTTATGTTGTTCAGGTCAAGGTACGTTAGCGACGTGAGGTGCGCGACGGAGGCTGGGAGCAAAGGGCAAGGCTTATCGTCGCGCTCGTAGCTGTAATCGCGGGTATAGTACAGGGTCAGCGATTGCAGGGACGACGCGAGGAGGGAAAGGGACGGAGGGACGAACTCGAAGCGACCTGAGAGCGAGAGCGAGCGCAGATTACGCAACTGGCCGAGGGCTATAGGCAGGAGTGTGGACCTATGGAGTTTCGAGATGGTGAGGTGGGTCAACCACTCGAACGAGCACATCGCCGCGGAGATGAACCTTCGTTCCGAGCGCTCCAGCTTGTCTACGCTAATGTCGAGATGACGCAGGGCACTGCCGAGGGGCGGGTACGTCGTATTCGTCTCAGCGGCGGCGACTTCTACGGCTTCCTTGTAGATCGCGCTGGGAGATCGAGCTTGATCGCTGAGGAGGACGTGGGTTGGACGGAACGGGTCCCAGAGCGGCATCACGTTGCGTCCCTCCATCCACCTGACGCAACCCAGCTTCACGAAGGTCAGCGACGGCAGAGAGAACAATCCCACGGGGAACGGGTCGTTATCGACTGTGTACGCCACCTCGAGCCGCTCGAGCGATGTCAGATGGCTTAGCGCCTCGAGCGACTCGTTGGAGTCCAACGAGTCGATGGTGACGTGGTGCAGATGCGACGCGAAGATAAGATCGAATCGGGGAAGTTTGAGATCAAAGCAGTGACGGATGGTGAGAGCCGTTAGAAACTCGATGCGTGAGGGTGGAAGATTGCGTATGTTGCGGCACGAGTCCAGCGTAACTTCTTCCAGTTTCGTCCATCCTTTGCACGCGTCTGGTAACCCGTTGTCGAAGTTTCGCAGCTCCAGCCGTCGAATGTTCTGCAGTGCGCCGATGCGGAGTGGGAAACCAGGCACTTGCCAGGAGCCGTCGATTCGGAGGGAGGTGAGGGACGAAAGGTCGCCGAACGATTCGGGCAGATGACGCATCGCTTTGCATTCCGAAAGCGAGAGCGTCGTCAACGATCCCAGCTTCCCAAAATCTTCGGGCAGCCGCAACAGTAACGGGCAGCTTAAGCAGAGCTCCTGGAGTGCGGATAGCTGACATATTCCGTCAGGCAGCATGCGGAGAGACTTGGAGTGTAGCCGGAGCACGCGCAGCGAGGACAAGGAGGCGATGGAACCTGGAAGCTTCATCATCTGGCCGAGGCAGTGCGAGAGAGTCAGCTCCTGTAACCGCGGCGCCGCCAAACGAAAAAACTCCTCGAGAGATTTATGACCAATTCTGAAATTAGGTTCTGCCGAAAAGCGCGGCTCGTGCAGATGTAGGCGGACGAGTCGCGGGGAGGCGTAGATTAGGGAGGTAAGGAACGTATCGTCGCAGAAATCGAGGGCGCGTTCGGCGATAGAAACGGAAGTGACTCTCGGAGCGAGGGACAGGTTACGAAAGAGCGCAGGCGCGGAAAGCACGGAAGCGGAAAGTTGGGCTTCGCTTGATAAAAACTGCGTGTGGCCGCGATTGACGCGTATGCTAGTCATGCTTCCTAGCCAGCGTTTACACGTGACTGCGAGGTCACTAAACGTGCTGACGGTGGGCTCCCTGCCGCCGCCGCTGCCGCTGCTGGTGCTGCTGCCATCGTTTGCGCCGTCCGCGCTGTCGGGATCTGTAACGGCGCAAGACGCAGCGAGCGAGAGGATTCTGAAAAGGAGCTCGTCTGGTAGGCAATTGATGGGTGCGTCGCGAGCGCTGCGGTGAACTGGTGGGGGCTCCATTGACTAGTAGGAAAAGACTCGTCGACCTTGTTGCCAATTTAGTGAAGCTGAAGACTTCAACTTGAAGTTCTGCAGGAGGTACTGGGACTAATGCAAAGGGGGCTGCTGCTATGCTAACACAGGCCACAGCTAATAATCCATGGCTCCACTTCTGCGGCTCTGTCCGTAGCTCTGGCTATATGCCTCTCTCATGCGAGAAGCAGCTCTCAACAGATATACAATGGACAACCTCGTACATGCAGTGCAGTACAATGCACATGGCGCAAAGAACTGGTGTGGTGTGGTGAGTGAGATGGCTCTCATGCACAAAACTTTGCTGTGGATTTAGCGCGACTCGTCAGATTTGAATCACCTCGTCTCACACATCCACCACCAAACCAGCCGTTGCCCCGTTCTGAAACAAACCACCCCATGAGCCAAGGTCGTGTTTCGGATGGCCCAGTGTTCGATTCAAGTCCAGAACTTATGTGTAGCAAATACGTTTTCGAAACGTTTCGAGCAGCGCAATGCGATGATACGTCGTTTGTTGCGCAGCCAGTTGACGTTGAATCAGGCAATGGGATCACTTCGGAAACTCAAATGTGACTAACCACATCTCCCCCACATACCAAATGTCAGGGACTTTTCATCCTCTGGAGCGCCTATTTGGCGTGCCTCCCACGGAAAGATGGGGGGCTGGGCCAACTTGACCCGAAGCTCTGCCTGGACGGGCTGGCTATCCGCAGGCTGGGGAAGCTTCTGCGGGAACCGGAAGGCACACGGCGGTAGTTAGCGGAGAGGGCGGCCGCTTTTCCGCAAGGGTGGGCCACACTTTTCGCGCACCCGTCGGCAATCAAGCAGTGGCAGCGGGGGAGCGAAAGATGGAAGGAAGCAGTGAAAGTCTTCTGGAAATCGCCTTTCGCGTCGCTGCCGGCGCCTGCAAGCAGGTGGGAAGTGGAGGAGGAGTTCATCTGTTTTAACAAGAGTATAATGCATCGGGGGGAGAGCCCTTTTGGTCACCAGAAGGGGACGGCGGCACTCACCCGGACGAAGATACGGGACCTGCTCACGAACGGCCCGGGGGGGAAAAGGGAAGTGAAGGAAGAGGAGATGTTGATGGTGGAGCTTGGGAGTAAGGAGGCGGCGATTATGGCGAGGAAAGCCTACGAGGCAATCCCACCGGAGTGGAAAAAAATGGTCGAGGAGCCAGCAACAGCAGAGGCGGTGGTAGCGGCATCAGGAGTTGCGAGATTTGTCCTCCGGGGTCAGCCCACAGGACCGCCGTGGGCAATAAAAGGGATCGACGGCGCGAAGATTGTTGCAGAATACATGGTGACGGACGCGGAAGGGAAACTGTGCGCACCAGAAAGACGAAGGGAAACCTGTTTCGAGGCGTGTAACCTACAACCGCTGGCGGTAAAAGAAGGCAGGCTGCTAGGCCCAGTAGGGGACCCGAAGGCAAGGCTGCTGGCGAAATCGGGGCTTTTTGCTGGAGGGGAGCTGGTGCCGTTGCGCAAGATAAGGGCTACGCTAACTAAAGAGACGGGGCGTTCTTGGAGGCAGGCGGAGTGGGAAGAGACATGGGGCAGGAAGATTGACTGGAAGAGAGCGATTGACACACGGGACTCGGTGTGTGTCCCTCTTAGGGCAAGGGACGTGCTCCTCAGGGTACACAGCATGAACCTTCAGGTGGGGGATAGGCTGGATTTCTTCCAGAACAGGATCGATTGCGCGCATTGCGGGGGAGAGGAAACCCTGGCACATTGCCTCTACAGCTGCCCAACAATACAGCCGGTGATTGGCGCGCTCAAAAGATCCCTGCAGCTGCTGAACCCGGGCAGGCCTATGAACTCGCTGGGAGATATACTTTTTGGGGAAGGGGGCTCGGTGTCGGGTTTCCCCGAGATGACCTTGACAGCGGCAGTACTCCGGCGGATCTGGCTGGCGCGCTGTGATGCGGTATGGCGGGCGGTCCCTTTTGAGCGGAAGAAGGTGGGGCGCTGCGCGGTGCTGGATTTCATGACGCATGCGAGAGTGGTGGTGGCATCACGAGGAAGGGTGGCAAATGCAGGAGAAACGGTCGTTGGCGCGAGAACGGATAGGTGGCGCCAGGTGGCGAGTGATGAGAGGAAACTGCTGCAGGAGGTATGCAACGAGGATGGGCCAGCAAGCTGGTCAGGTCGGTTTCTTTCAATATGGCGCAACCCGCGCACTTTCCACCAACCCCCGTAAACTGTCACAGGGGGGAAGCGCAACGCCCTTTTTTGTGGCGCGGCCTAGGCCCTCCAAGCATACAGTTACGACTGTGGATGTATCTATGTTTTGATAATATAGTTACAACCCCAAAAAAAAAAAAAAAAAAAAAAATGCCAGGGACCACAGCCAGGTGGGGGGGAAATATACGGAGCACGAGAATGTCGTCGTAACCGGCGGATTTCCCGAAGGCATTACCCGCTACCAATGTGTGAACACACAGTGATTGAGCGTGCAATGCCGCTTATATGGTTTAAATGGATGGTTGCAAACAAGTGCTGCTTCTAAGCAGCAATAACGTTGTGCAAGCACGCACGGTGTATGATGGATATAGAAGGTGGAACATCAGTTACTGGGAAAGCAAATATTGGTAGACAAAGCTGAAATAGATAAAAGAACCTCTGGCAGAATTACATCTACCATACCGTCCTATGTTATTCAATGGTACAAGTCTAGGTCAAGCAGCAGCACCCCTGTCGAATACAGTTACAGGTATCATGGTGTCTGCAAGACAAAGAATGATGGAGGAGATGGATATTTGCGACTGTCGGCCCCTGGATGGATCTTGGTTCGATCCCTCGTTGCTCTTGAGCTTTTTCAAAAAGCGACTGTCAGTCAGTCAGCCTGCGGGATCCTCAACCTCTCAGCAAACCTCAGCACTCCTCAAAGTAATTATCGACAGCCTCGAATATCTTCCTCAAGCTGGTGCAGTATGATGGTGACTCACTTTCCCTGGCCGGCTGAATCCTCCTGCGGTGGAGATTCCGTCCTGTTGGTTCAATCAACCCCAACCTTCCTGAGTACTCACAAGTCCCTTTGCATCCTGGCTTGCAAAGATATCCTTGACAGAGGACCAGTCCTTTGCAGCGCGCTGCTCCCAGTACCAAGTCACTTCTGAGTCGACTCAAAAGTGGCTCACGCAACTCACTTCGCCTCCTCGCCTCAAAATATATCCTTGACAAAAATGCCAGTCGTTGGCAGCGTGCGTTTGAGGCGCCTTCAAACTCCTGCATCGGAGGCTTACAACTCACTTTGCCTCCTCGCCTGCAAAGATATCCTTGACAGACGACCAGTCCCTGGCAGCGCGCTGCTCCCAGTATCCCCCCACGTATGTCCACGTGTTGTGCGGCCCCGTCTGCTTGAACCACCGCGGCTGCCACCCCTCCTCTCACGCGCCTGCGTGGAACGAGGGATGTGTGTGTGAGGAAGAGTGGGGAGTGGGGGAGTGGGGAGTGGAAAGAGGGGATGAGGGGTTTTGAAATGTCTCCAAGTTGCCCTTTCTCCTTGCTCTCGGCGCCTGCTTGCGAACGAGCAGTGTGCGTGTGAGGGAGTGTCGGGGTGTGATGTGGAAAGAGGGGATGAGAAATGTTGGAATCACACTAAGTCATCCTTTCTCCTTGCTCTTGTGCACCTGCTTGGGAACGAGGAATGTGCGTGCAGGGGAGAGTGGGGAACGGGGTGTGGGGAGTGGGAAGTGGGGAGTGGGAAATGGTAAGGAGAACCTAGTACTTCCCCAGTTTGGCCCCTCTTTTTCACAAACACCCTTTTTTCAAAAGCTTGATTCTTCAACCACTGACCTTCTTAAAGTCTCTCTCACAGCCAAAGCCCAACACCCCGTTGTTTCCAAAAAAACTTTCCAGGCATCCCTTACAGCCCAACCCCACACAGCAGCCCCTACTGACTCCCACCTACCGTTGCCGTGTCTCAAGGCGGATCTTCTCCGCATTGGCGCGGTCAAAGTACCCTGGCGCAGACTTGAGTCCGTGGGGGGAGCACGCCCTGGCAGCAAGGAGAGGAGAGGGGGAAAAAATGAGGGGTTGGGTTGAGTCGCCTTAAGAGTCCTAGGGAGAGAGCACGTTCTGGGATCAAAAAGAAGAGGGGGGGGGAGGAGGGGAAACGGGGGAAGCAAGAGGGAGGGGGCGGGGAGGCACTTGGGGGCTGGTTTTGAGGACTTATTTTGAGGCGCCTCAAAAACAGTCTGTTTTTTAGGCGTCACAGCGGCTCATACTTGCAAAGTATGGATGCATATGCGAGGTAACAGGTAATGGGGAGGAGCACGCTTTAGCAGCAAGGAGAGAGAGGGAATGAGGGTGTGAGCACGCCCTACCAGCAAAAGAGAGGGGCAAATATTACGACTGACTGACCGATTGACCGGCCAACCGACCAAGTGAGTGACTCAAAAGCGACTCACACAACACACTTTGCCTCCTCGCTCGCAAACATATCCTTGACAGAGGACCAGTCCTAGGCAGCGTGCTTTTGAGGCGCCTTCAAACTCCTGCATCGGAGGCTCACAACAACTCACTTTGCCTCCTCGCTCGCAAAGATATCCTTGACAGAGGACCAGTGCTTGGCAGCGCGCTGCTCTCAGTACCCCCCCACGTATGTCCACGTGTTGTGCGGCCCCATCTGCTTGAACCACCGCGGATGCCACCCCTCCTCCTTGCTGATGCTGGTGGTGCTGGTGCTGGTGCTGCTCTCAACGTGCCGCCCTCACTTTTCAGCTCCTTGCCTTAGAAGAACTGACTTGCGCCGCCTACCAATCTTCCACCCAGCCACATGCACTCTTGTTCTGCACACCCCGAACTCCCCCCTTATCCGGTCCAACCCACTCCCATACACATCCACATGCCCTCTCAGTTGGAAGGACCCACCTGCTCCGCCTACCCACTCCTCCACCCAACCACATGCACTCCACTTCCGCACACCCCCACCTCCCCCTTTATGTGGTCCAACCAACTCCCATGCACATCCACAATCCTCAATGCCTTAGCTTCTCTAAGCGATTTTGGTAGAGCTTTTATCGCCACACACTCTCGTAACTGAAGCACTTCTAAACGAAGCAGCTGACCCATGTGGGGAGGGAGGGAGTGCAGTTGCTTGCAGAAACTGAAGCAGGCCACTCGGAGCAAAGGGAGAGAGGGGAAGGAGGCGGGCAGATGTGAGAAAGAATCACACCGGGAAAGCTCCAGTTCAGTCAATCGAGGTAATGAACCGAAGCGGTTTGGGAGAGTGGAAAATTTCGGACACTGTGTGACAATGAGGTGAACGAGGGATCTCAAAGCGGAAAAGGAGTCGGGCAGATGGCGGAAAGCTTTGCACTCGCGAATGGAGAGGCTCTTGAGAGATATCCGTGCGCCGAAATTCGCAGGCAGGGATATGAGGTCGTCGTATTTGATGATTGTAAGCGTGTGGAGGCGGGAGAACTGGCACAAGGCGGGCGGCAAAGAGGAGATACTGGATCCGCAAGTCAGGTTCGCTTCTTCAAGAGACGGCAAGCCATTAGTAAGTGAATTCAGAAACGAAGGCCCTTTTGATCCCACTATAGTCAGCTTCTTTAGCGCTCCAAGTGAGGCGAAACGGATCGGCAGAGTCTTCATGTGAGGGCAAAACAAAAGCTCCAGTTCCTCTAGACGAGTCAGCCGAGAGAACTTTTCAGGCAGCTGCTTCAAGCGCGTACAACTGAGATGAAGCTTCTTCAAGGAGGGTAACTTGCAGAACGATGGTGGGAGTCCCACCATCCAAATGCTTTTCCCTAGCTCTAATGTTTCTACCTTCTCCAAGCAACTGATAACCATTGGAAGGTCAGAACGGTTCCGAAACCCGTCGACAAAGTCATAGTCCACGCGTAGCGTACTAAGCAGGGCTAATCTCGCGAGGTCAGGAGTCGGATCGTGAAGCTGGAAGTTGGTTAGGTCAAGGTACGTTAGCGACGTGAGTTGAGCGACGGAGGCTGGGAGTGAAGGGAGGTACTTGTCAGAATATTATGCTCTAGCCTGTAGTGGGGTGCTCTATAGCGAGTACAACCCTACTAGGGTTTGCTATTTGTATCCTCATTCTTGCTAGTGCAACTCCTCTCTTTGCCTAAACTGTTTCTTGCCTAGCTAGGGCTTTCCTAGCTATGGCGCCTTCTTCTACTGCTTATCTTCACATGGTATTAGAGCGATATGCTCCTGGCCTATGGGCCCCACCTCACTGCTTCCGCTGCTACTGCTACTCCCTGTCCGCCGCGCGCCCCGTGGTGCGCGGCGTCGAAATTAGGGTTTTTCAGCCCGCCGTGCGCCCCGAGGCGCGCGGCGGTTTTCTGCCCGCCGTGCGCCCCGAGGCGCGCGGCGGTTTTCTGCCCGCCGTGCGCCCCGAGGCGCGCGACGGGTTTCTGCCCCGTCACTCGGCGCGTCGCCCCCAGGAGGCGCTACGACGGGCGACGGGGACCCGCGCGTCGCCCCCCGTCGCCCGTCGTGGCCTGCGCGCGGCCCGTACAGCCGGCGCGCGGCCCGTACGGGCTGCGCCAGGCCTGCGCGCGGCCCGTACGGACTGCGCCAGGCCCGCGCGCGGCCCGTACGGGCTGCGCCAGGCCCGCGCGCGGCCCGTACGGGCTGCGCCAGGCCCGCGCGCGGCCCGTACGGACTGCGCCAGGCCCGCGCGCGGCTCGGGCCGCCTGCGCGCGGTTCGGGAGGCTGTGCCAGGCCCGTGGGCGGCCCGTTCTTCGCTGCCCCTGTCCTCCCCGCTGTCCCCCGTGCTTCTGAAGGCGCCCCACCCCTCCTTCTGCCCGTTCTCCTGGATTAGGGTTTGGGGGTGGGGGGTATGGGGGTGCAGCTTCTGTGTGCCGTTCCCTGCTCCTCCTCCTCCTCCGTCTCCCTGTGCTGCAGCTGCCGCTGAAGGGGGGTGGACCTGTTGGAGCCGTCGGAGTGGTACTAAGGGGGGGTGAAGGGGGAGTGGAGCTAGGGGTGAAGCAGGGGGTGTGTGTCAGGGGGGGTGGTACTGTTTGGGGGAGGTTGAACGGAGGTTGCCGTCGTGTCGCCAGCAGCACCTGTAGTCCGGGGAGTTGCTTCGGTAGCCCAGTCGTAGCCACCTGTGCCAGTCGCCCGTGGGTCCGTTGCTCGTCTGCCGCTACTTTTAGCCGCGGGGCCAGTTACTCCAGTAGTCCGGAGCGCTGTTCCGGTAGCCGCTGTGCCAGTGTGCCTCCTGTTGCCCGTGTGTCTGCAGCTTCAGCCGTCGCCTCCTATCTCCTCTCCTCTCACTGTCCCTCCTCCTCCTCACTTGCCCGTTGTGACTACCACTAGCTTTGCTCATAATTGTGAACTTTAAACTATTGCTTCCTGAACTTGTGCTCAGAATGTGTGGTGACATTGTGATTCACCCTGAGCTTGTTCTGCTTTGCTTGCTCTGCTGATTACACCCCACTTTGGCTATGGGGGTGTGTCAGAATATTATGCTCTAGCCTGTAGTGGGGTGCTCTATAGCGAGTACAACCCTTCTAGGGTTTGCTATTTGTATCCTCATTCTTGCTAGTGCAACTCCTCTCTTTGCCTAAACTGTTTCTTGCCTAGCTAGGGCTTTCCTAGCTATGGCGCCTTCTTCTACTGCTTATCTTCACAGTACTTGTAGTTGCGGTATACGTGGCAGAACTGGCAGGTAAAGTGCAGCGTCAGCGATTGCAGGGATGACGCGAGGAGCGAGAGAGAGGGAGGGAAGTAATAGAAGCGACCGGAGAGCGAGAGCGAACGGAGATTACGCAACTGGCCCAGGGCGATAGGCAGGAGGGCGGAGCTATGGAGCCTGGAGATGGTGAGGTGGGTCGGCCACTCGAGCGAGCACACCCCCGCGGACATGAACCTTCGCCCTGAGTCTTCCGACTCGCCTAAGCTAATACCGAGATGACGCAGGGAAGGGCCGAGGGGTGGGTACGTCGCATCGGTCTCGGCGGCAGCGATTTCTTCGGCCTCGTTGTAGATTGCGGTGGAAGATCGTCGATCGTTAGGTCCCCAGAGGTGCCCCACGTCGGGTCCCTCCAACCACTTGACGGAACCCAGCTTCACGAAAGCCAGCAACGGCAGAGCGAACAATCCCACGGGGAACGGCTCGTCATTGTTTACCAGCATCACGTCGAGCCGCTCGAGCGATTTCAGATGGCTCAGCGACTCGAGCGACACGCTGGCTCCCAACGAGCCGATGGTGACGTGGCGCAGCTTCGACGCGAAGTCGACATCGAATCGGGGAAGTTTGAAGGACCAGTAGTCACGGATGGTGAGAGCCGTTAGCGACTCCACGAGTGAGGCTGGGAAACTGCCTATGCCGCGACACAACTCCAGGGTGATTTCCTCCAGATTCGTCCATTTTACGCACGCGTCTGGTAACCGGCAGCCGATTTTTCGCAGCTCCAGTCGTTGCAAATTCTGCAGCGCGCCTATACGCGTTGGGAAGCGATGCATTTGCCAGGAACCGTTGATCTGGAGGGAGGTGAGCGATGAAAGGTCGCCGAACGACTCGCGCAACAGCCGCAATTCCGTGCACTCCGAGAACGAGAGCTGCGACAACGATTCCAGCTTGCCAAAAGCTTCCGGTAGCCGCAACAGTGACGGGCAGCTTAAATGGAGCTCATGGAGCGCAGTTAGCTGGCATATCCCGTCGGGCAGCGTGCGAAAAAACTTGGAGTGTAGCCGGAGCACGCGCAGCGAGGACAACGTCACAAAGAAATTGCCCCCCCTCTGGAGCCACAATCGTACCTATGCCAGGGTCTGCTAGGGGGAGCCATATCATAAGTATGCCACAGCAAACCCAAAACAATGTCAATGTGTGGGCAGCCACTTACAATGCATCGCATGTATTGCTGTTGAAGGCCCGCCACAGTTTAGGGGGTAATAGTTGGATCTCACACAGGCGTTTTTAACACACAAGCAATACAAGTACATAATACATAACAGGGTTTGGCATTATTACGCCTCACCCACACGGCAGACACAAGTGCTGCCAGTGTAATACTACTGCTAAAGGACCTGCCAAGGCATAGCAAGATCTAATAGAATAGGAAACACAAGAGACGAAACACCGATAAGCAGCAAACGACAGGCATTTTCACGAGGGTTTCAGGCTTTGGGCTGCACACAGTGGTGAGCTGCATGTGTCTGACTTGGCCACTGCAGTGGTGATTGAGGCCGCACCCCCCTTTGTGGTCCCCTTCTAGGGGATTTCCTGGTTCACCAGATATGCCCACTTGTTCAGGTACCATGTGTCCTTCTGCTCGAATGATGGGACGCAGTGGACAGCACGCTTGAGCCGGTCGATGGGGATGACAGCCAGCCCGCGAAACAGAGAGGGCGGCTCAAGCACCTGGCAGCCCGTGCACTCATCGAGCCCCTGTTGGTTCAGCCGCTGCAGCACAGCCACCTCTGCAGGCTCGTAGCTGCTATCGTCCAGCGGCCTCTCTGCATCCAGCAGCAGGATCAGCCGCCCGTACACGGTCCGGCCAGCAGAGGACAGGTACTCCACGCAGGAGAAGGCCGTGTGGCCGTGCATCGATGCAGCGGCACGGGCGTAGTGGGGCCGGATGTGCCCGTAGTCGGTGGGGAAGGCCGGCAGCGCCACCGCCGTGTGCGCCTGTTGGGGTCGTGGGTACATGGGCATTGAAGCAAACGAGAAAGCGGGCAGTCAGGAGGGTTGCTGGTTGCTAAGCATTCGGACCGGAGAGGGCGGAGATGGGGGAGGGGGGGGGGGGGGGGGGGGGGGGTTTGGGGGGTCCCTACAGGAGGGAACGGAGTTCAGTGCTGATGCTAGAGGCTGCTACTAGCGTGGGGTGTATGGGAGAGCACATACCCACGCGGGGAACGGCCGCAGGCCGGCGTTGCGCATCACGGTGTCGTAGTAGAACAGGAGCCCTCCCACGGCGGTGTTGACATCGTCGAAGACAGATGCCGCGCTGCTCTCGTGGTCCGGCCGCGCAGTGAGGGACCTCCGCGCGAGCGTCAGCTGGGGGGTGCCCGATGCGATCGCCTGTTTAGGGATGCAACAGCGCATAGGGTGCTTTTGGCTCACTCGCCGGACAGACCACGGCCGTGAGCCTCCCAGCCCAACATGGGTGTGCGAGTGTTATGTACTTTCGTTACTCACCCGGGTCAGCGCGGTCTGGTTGCGCCTGCGTGCTGGGAGAGCAGAGGCCAGCTGCCCCATCGCCGAAGCGCGCACGTTGTGTGCGGCGATGGCCTGCAGTGGCTGGCGGTGGTTAGAGGTCCTGTACGGCAGCTTGCACGTGCGGATGTGCGCGTTCTCGTACACGGCTGCGGAGAACTCATGTGGGAGTCCACCTCTCCTGACAGAGTCTGGCACGTGCGTGAGGAGGTGAACCTTTATCAGGTTCCACCCGACCCCCTCACGTGGGAACACATCCTCGACCGTCTGAATCATCGTGCAAACACAAACGCCCTCAGTTCAGAACTCCCTGCGTCATACGGCCGCGCAATGCATACGGGACCCAAGGGATCACCTCTTTGTGGCTTCTTCAAAGTCACCGAGGGACGTATCCGAGTGACACGGAGCTCTCACGTGGGACTCGTGCCACTGGAGCACCGTGACCAGCGCCAGCCTGGACACGACATCCACCTCGCCCTCGATAGCAAACGGCGTAAGCTGTGATAGTGCGGGGGTAAAGGTCAGACGCGCAAAACGGGGGTCATCATCGACCGCTTGTCAGGGGTGAACGTGCCTTCACATCTTCATGGACACGTAGACTCACCATCATCGCGGACGCATGCTCGCTGGCTGTAAAGTTGGCGCCGCTGGCCCAGTAGCTGCCAGACCCAGGAGAGCGAAGGCCAGCAAGGCGAGCGTCGGGGTACATCTTCTTCATGCGCCTGCCATCGTATCGACCATACCGAAAGTACTCAAGGTTGGTAGGAACAACACCTTATTGACCACGTTTCCCCAGACTATACCCCCACATTACTTACTCATCCTTGCGCCTGGCGCTCATGGCGGTGCCACGCAAGACGCTTCGAATGTACAGCCAGAAGCCGATGTATATCGCGTGCAGAATATCGGGCATCTGAGATATGTAAGTGTTGCCCCACACGGTGCGATTTCAAGATAAAACAGCCAAAGCTCTACCATTACCGTCAATTCTCGCATGTCGGCGGCTCGGACGGCATTGGCGCAGGCATTTTAGCACACGCACTCGGCATGCTTGCCTGGTGGGAGATTCCCGCCGAAGATAGGTTTTTCTGGACCCTAAACATGGGGAAGCACATGTGCGTGTACCCGTGGGACAGGCCATCCGGCGTAACAGTGCAGCCCTTGTATCGTCTAGTGTGTCAGGACTACGATCTTAATCGTCCTGATGATGATCTGCCTGACTTTTTCCTATGACATGCTGTTTGCGCGAGCCCAAATGAGTGTTTTGCATGCTTGATTATTAGAGATAAGTCCTGGGTGTGTTTTTAATTGCTACTACAAAACATATCAGTACTCGTTCGTCCTTCGGACATGGTTTGCTAACGCGACGAGTAGGAGCGCCGGCACAGAACGGGAAAACAGCAGTCACGACAATGTTCACCCGTTCCCCTTAGCTGTCGAACCGCACCTTCCCGATAGGGTATGCCGGATTGGCTGTTGAACTGACCACGTGGCCGTATAGCGTGCTCTGACCCCAGCTGGCGCGGCCAAAAGGGGTAGCCTCACACGCGCGTGCGGGTCGCGCTATTCTTTCTCGCGCAATCTCCTATCCACCCTGCCATCCTATCTGGGTGACATCGTTGCGTCTGCACGCAGGTACCTTTCCGCGCTGTCACAGATTTTATCACGTGGCGTCAATAATGGTCTGTGTAGACCACGGAGGGCTTTCCCATTGGTGCGCTTGGATATTTTGCCGAGATGACGTTGCCAGCTAGACGCCCGCTGCCAGGTTGCCTCCTTATCCGAGAGACGAGCAAGCAGGCATGCGAGTTTTATATAACACCACCATTGTACCGGACTTCCATAAGTTGCGGTACCACTACCACTCATACTACGCACAGTTCAACATGGAGCCAGCACTGTCTCCGTACTCACCTCTCAGGCGCTCTGGCAGGAGCAATGCCGGAGTGCGGAACTCCATCGACGACATGGTGTACTATGGCCGTGCCCCGCAATCACCTCGCGTCGACGGACGTCCGGGCCGCGTGCCGTCTACCTCCGAGGACACGACGCCTGTCAACGAGCCTAGTGCAGACACGAACACCGAGTATCTCCCGTGGGCGGACCGCCAGGACGACCGTCTCGATGTGGAAGACGATGACGACGTTGAGGATACCTGGATGCCCGAAGAAGAACCAGTCAACGAGGAGGCCGAAGGTACATATGTTAGTAGGTTCAAAAACTTCTGCATACGTTTTTACCATTTGTTGAACGGTCGGCCTCACATGCGCTGATTCGGCTGCAATCTCTGTACCTCTCGCTTGTTCAGCTGAAGGCCGCGAGCAACGCCCGCTTTCAGAGGTGATGGCCTCGTCTAGCCAGGCAACTGCAGACGAGCAACGCCCGCGTGGCCGAGGGCAGACTATGAACCGTCGCACTGTTAGCACCACCAATGCGCCAACTACCGCTACCGCGTCGATCGACGCTGCGATTGCAACCCAGGTCGCAGAGCAGGAACGGCGTATCCACGAGCTCAACCAGACCATTGCTGGGCTCGAGGGTAATCGCGGCCCTGTCAGGAGCCCCCCTCGTCCACGCGACACGCCTCGCGGCGCGCGCGCACGTGACATGCCGCTGGATGAGCCCGCACCAACGCGGCAGCGCACAGCTGCGGGCCGCGGCAGCGAGCGACAGGCAGAGGTAACTGGCGAGGCAAGGGCGCCGATGGTGGAAGCGGCGCTCGCCCGGGAGATTCGGCGTGCGAACACGGGGGGTCGAGCCACTCCTGGTCTGGTTAACTGGGCCGACCGACTTCAGGAGTGCCACGTGTTCTTCCCGAATATGGACGACGGGTGGAAGGTGCGTAGGTGTTTGTTTCGGCAGGCGTCTTTTAAAAGCGGGCTACTCTATGTCTGTGGTAGGTATCTCACAAGTTCTCCGTCCTATTCCTTGTGCTCGCTTGCCCTTGTAAGCCAGGCTGCGGTCGAGGACCTGATAAAGATTCTCACGTACGACACGTCGGTCGCCCAGCTCTCTTTTTGGATGCCGCCCGCGCTGCTCGAGCGCCTCCTGGCGCGCGCGCTGCGGATCACTAGCCAGGCACACCGCACCATGCTCCATATGCTGCTGGCGCACGACGAGAAACGAGCGGGATGGATTACTCGCCGAATGCAAGTCTGGCGCAACACTAAGTGGGAGCAGGGACGGGCTTACGTCTACATCCTGCATGGAGTGCCCTATAAGGCGGGCTCCAACCCCCGCATCTCGCTGCCTGCGACCCCAAGTGCAGTTGAGGTGCCCCGGATCTCGCGCAAGCAGTTCATAGAGCACCACCCTGCCGGTGAGTGATGGTCTCCTTGAGTACAGTAGCGGTATTCCCTTCGCTCCTTTTCCTAACCGCAGTGAGACGTGTGTGAGTATCCTTGTTCAGGCAATGCGACGTTCGAGCTGCACCCCTGGCATCGCAACGCGGCTGGCATACCGTTTGCTACGGAGAAGTTTGAGCGAGCGATTTTCGCATCATTTCGGCGCCCTGTTCCGCCCCCGCTCGTTCTGCGCACCTATCACGTCGCCTTTTGGCTTTTCGGCGTAAGCTCTGGCAGACTGCACTCACCCGAATATGTATTATTACGCGTATGTGCTAACATCTTGCATATTGGTTTGCGCAGGTTGAGTTTCCGCTTGTCAGCGGCGGGACTATGAAGCGCAGCGCACCCCAGAACGAGGAGGGTGTGCGCTGGTATCATGAGCGTGTCAAGCGCTAGATGCACAGCGTGATTCTGCGCCGCTCCACCGAGCACGGGCCGTTCTGGGATTCCGAGCGGCGCGGTTGGAGCTTTCGCCGCGACAGCGTCCTCCGCATACTGGAGGACGGAATGGAGCACCTTTCGCCAACGCTGCCTGCTGTCGCACAGGCCCCAATTCCGCCTGTAACCCCGCGCGCGGGGATAGCATAGGCTGCTGTGGCAGGCGGGCTTTTGGATTTCGCCCAACCCTGCGACGGGTTGCATCGCCCGCAGCCAGGTGTAGCACGCGATTCTGCAATGTTTGAAATGTCCCATGCGACCCGTGCGGTCGAGTCGGTGTGCTGTGTGCCTTTGTGTCGCTGTCGTTTGTTTTGTGTGTGCGTTCTAGTTAGTATGGGTATATGATATGCTATTATAGCCACCAGTAATGTTTTATTTATGCTGTGTGAACCCTACGGCTTTGACGCGACGCAGTTACAATGCGTTATCCTATATCGCACCATTCCTCACCCACAACAATAGCATCACGACAGTGATGGCTAAACCCTCATATCGGATTGGTTCGCCTAAAAAATGTGTGTAACCCGGTGACATGTAACAGTTACATCGTTGTGGGATCACCCCCCCTGTAGTCACATTTCCGGTGTTAGAACAATCGCATATAGCCACATTCTTTGATTCTTGCTTGGTGGTTACGTTATATAAGTGTACGGAACAGTGGTTATGCTGACAACGAAATCTGTCGTAAGGGGTACGCGCAATGTATCGTGAGTGCCCGAGTCTAGAATGGCAACTTTTCAAGTTCAAGATTCTTGAACTTGAATTCGCCTCCCCTCCCGTCGCCTTTTAGGTGGCTCTCCCTTCCCGCGCCCGTCGCCCACGCTTACTCTGAGTGTCTCCCACGCTCTCCCATCATGTCGCTGGCCTTCACATGACCATCGCTTGCCCATTCTGTCGCTTTCCCAACACCTTTCAAGTTCAGTATTCTTGAAGCCTTACCATTCTAGACTCGGGCTTTAACAATCTCTAGGGTTTGTCCCAACAGGGTGCTTGCGCAGTCTCACAACACTCCCGCCCCCTCTCAATGCATTGTCAATAATAATGTTAGTCGTATGTTGCCGTGCGGTACTTCAGACAGTCCGCAAACATTGGTTTTACATTGTTTTCGCGCTAATTTCTTTGTGACGAAGGAGGCGACGGAACTTGGAAGCTTCGTCATTTGGCCAAGACAGTGCGAGAGAGTCAGCTCCTGTAACCGCGGCGCCGCCAAACGAAAAAACTCCTCCAGAGGTTTACGACCAAGTGTAAAATGAGGTACTGCCGTAAAGCGCGGCTCGTGCAGGATCAGGCGGAAGAGTCGCGATGAGGCGGAGAGTAGGGAGGCAAGGAAAGCGTCGTCGTAGAAATCGAGGGCGCGTTCGGTGAGAGAAACGGAAGTGACATTCGGAGCGAGGGACAGGATGCGGAAGAGCGCAGGCGCGGAAAGCACGGGAGCGGAAAGCTGGCTTTCGCTTCCCGAAGTTGGCGTGTGGCCGCGATTGACACGAAGGGTAGTCATGCTTCCTAGCCATCGTTTACATGTGACTGCAAGGTCACTAAAATTGCTGTCGGTTAGCTCGCTGTCGCCGCCGTTGCCGCCGCTGCTGCTTCTGCCATTGTTTGCGCCGTCTGCGCTGCCGGGCTCTGTAACTGCGCAAGTCGCAGCGCGCGAGAGGATTTTGCAAAGAAGCTCGTCTGGTAGTTTGTGGATGGGCGTGTTGCGCGCGCTGCGGTGAGCTGGTGGGGGCTCTATAGAATAGTAGGCGCTGACTCGTCCAGTTTGATGCCAGCTTTTGTCAAGTTGAAGGTCTGCAGGAGGTACCGGGACTGTTGCTATGCTAACGGGCCACAGCTAACAATTCATGGCTCCACTCCAGTGGCTGTATTGCTATGGGCTGGGCTCGTGTCGTTGGTATATCAGGCAGGCGGACAACCACAATTTTCACCAATTCAACGCACAACGAACGGACAGCCTTGTGGATGCAGTTGTGCTGGAATTGGTGGTGCACGAAACTCTGGATTTTGCGCGACTCGTCAAACGAACAAACCATCTCCCCGTTCTTCGAACAAGCCAACCACCAGCCAAAGTCGTGTTCAAATGCCGTCAGTACACCTGAAACCACATGTGGAACCACTATGTTATCTAAAATATTCGAAGAATGTGCAACGATGTGATGGCACTGATGGGGCATTTGTTGCAAAGCAGGTTGACCAGATCAGGGTGCGGCAGGATACAGGACGACGATACAGAACTTGCGGGCCATAAGCAGGGAACTTGCGGGCCATAAGCAGTACCATAACAGATTTGTGAAATGTCACAACTTACCAACCTTCATTATGAAGCTCTCCAAACCATCTGACAGGCTCATATGAAAATCGTCAGTTTTTACTAACACTCACCCTCCGTAAGTAAAAAAGAGGAGGGGTTGATGTTCTACTTGGGAAGCCAACAATAACGTATGGCAACCCAACCCAGCACCACAAGGAACATTCCCCAAAACACATCAGCAGCCCAAGTCATCAGCCCCAGATAACCGTCTTTTCACAACTTCCCACAAAGATCCTAGAACCCGCCCCCCATTCCAAATCTAGTACCACTACTCACAGGTCATACCCCTAAATTTGACACCAACCAAAACCTGGGCTGCGCACGCTGCCAGCCCTGAAGCGCACGGACCAATCACGTGGCGCCACGTGCCTCCCTGCGCGTGGCGTCGTGTAGAATGTCCACGTCAACACCATCTGGTGGTAGCAGCACGTAGCGCACGACTGAGCCTCGGATGAAACAGTTCTTCACTGAGAGCTGCGTTGGGAAGGTAAGGAACCATGGGAATGGTGGGGCAGACATAAGAGGGCAAAAGGTTGTAAAAGTGAGGAGCGAGAGGGAGAGAAAGGGAGAGGTTGAGCGGAGAGGAGGGGCGAGGGAGGGGAGTTGTGTGATGGTTGTCTGGTGGCAGGAGCACGAGCTGCTCTACTGGCCCTTAGATGAAACAGCTTTTCACTGGGAGCTGCGTTGGGTAGAATGGAAGCAACAATAAACGGCATGATGGAAATGAAGTAAAACAACAGGCATGGTAGTGAGCAGCGTGGATGAACGGAGTGAAGTTTTGTTGGCTGGTGGGGTTGACTTGGTGGTTGTCTGGTGACAGCACCACACAGTGCGGACCACTGATCCTTAAGCACAAAACAGTATCTCACAAAAAAAGTGGATTAAGAAATGTCAAGAAATGACGGGAGCGGTGGGAAATCAAGGGCGAAAGAGAGGGAGGGAAAGAGAGGAAGGGTGAGCAAACAGAATGAGTGAGGGAGGGACTCTGTCTGATGGCTTTCTGGTGGCATTAGCACATAACGCTCCACTGAGCCTCGAATGAAACACTTCGCCACGAGAGGAGGGGTGAGAAAACAAAGAGTCATGGGGATGGTGGGGGGTGGACATCAGAGGGAAATACGGTAAGTGGTCACGTGCATGCCGCACCTTTAAACGCTCACAAGCACACTCGTGCAGATACTAAGCATTGTTGACGACCCAAGAGTTGTGCACTTGATGCTAAGGGGGTATTGGCTCCAAGGGGTAAAGGAGAGAAGGGTGAGAGAGAATGAGGAAAAGGCACTTGGCTCCTGCACAGCTCTCACCATGTGCGGGTATTTCGCATCGTTCACGATCCGCGAGTTGTGCAGCTTGATGTTGAGGTACTGGTCCACCGAGTGCAACGTACCGCGTGGGGGAGAAAGAGGAGGAGGCTCTTGATGCTTTGGTGCCCATTCAGGCTTCAGCACTCACCATGTGCGGGTACTTGGCATCATTGACGACGCGTGAGTTGTGCAGCTTGATGTTGAGGTACTGGTCCACAGAGTGCAGTGTGCCGCTGATGGCCAGGTCGTTCTTCAGCTCCACAGTCACCTCCTTGCCGATCAGCTCCTTGAAATACGAGAAGAACAGCTGAGGGGGGCGGGGCGGGGCGGGGGAAGAAGGGAAGGAGGGGTGTTGTGGAGGTTAGGAAACGGTTGGCGGACAGGGTGGTGGGAAGGATACGTGGAGAGGCCGTTCATGGACACCTCCTTGCCGATCAGCTCCTTAAAGTACGAGAAGAACAGCTGTAAGGGGCGGGGGGAGGGGGGAAGAGGGGATGGGGCGGAAGGAGGGGGGAAGAGGGGATGGGGCGGAAGGAGGGGGGAAGAGGGGATGGGGCGGAAGGAGGGGGGAAGAGGGGATGGGGCGGAAGGAGGGGGGAAGAGGGGGAGGAGGATAAGGTGCAACGGCTGTTGTTTTCAGCTCTGCCGTCACAGCCTTGCGTGTCATCGGCTTCGTGACACGCAAGGTGGCGAGAAGAACACCTCCTTGAAAAACGAGAAGGACAGCTGATCGGGGAGGTGAGGGATAGGGAAGGGAGGGCGGGGAAGAGCAGGGAGAGGAGGGGGATGGGGGGTTGGGGGGAAGGGGAAGGGGAAAGTGAAGAGGTGAGAGGGTGGGTGGGCATGGAATGGGCGTCAGGGAGGAAGGATGTGCTCTCTCTGTCCGGGTTTAAAGGCGGTCCTCCTTCCCTCTCTCTCCGCCCTCTCTGATCCCCTCCTCCTCCCTCCCCCCCGTCTCTACCTCTGCGCTCTGCCCATGCCTCTGCCAAAAGTAAAATATGCCGGTAGAGAGACGACTTTTGAGGCGTCTTAATAGCTTCCCCGCTCTCTACCTCTGGGTTCTGCGCATGCCACTGTCACTGCCAATACCGTCCGCGCAATTCGCCGCATGAGACAGAGCACATGCATGCGTGTGCACTGCCTCGCCTCGCCAGAGCTGTGAGACAAACGTCTCAGCAAATACCCCCACATGACGTCGTCATGAGACGTCACAGCTCTTGAGGCTCTTGAGACGACGTCATGTGCACTGCCCCACGTGGCATTCGTCTCAAGAGTCGATCATGCGCGCACTTGCACTGCCATGGCAGCCTTGCAGTGCAGTGAGGCGTCACCACTGATTACCACGCCATACCGGACCAGACCTGTAAGTACCACCGTGTTATGTCACTTGCCGCTGCCTGAATGCGCCCGCTCAGGTTACCAGCTAACAACTGTTACTACCAGCTGACGGCCGTAACCAACTAACGGCTGTTACTAGCAGCAAACGGCAGTTACCAGCTAATGGCTGTTACTACCAGCTAACGGCCGTTACCAGCTAACGGCTGTGGATAGAACACGGCACAAGATGATGCACTGACACGTGTCACATGGACACACCGCCACGCGGCAAGCCAGCAAAAAATCTGTGCCCATTCCTCCTTCTCCCCCTCCCCCTTTCCCCCCACTTCCCGTTCCCTTCCCCTTCCCCATCCCCGTCTTCGCCCACCAACCAACCCCCATTCCCCACTCCGCTCTCGCTACGGACTCCCAAACTCTCACTCTCCCGCGGTTGACGGTGCTACCGGCGTTAAGGGTGCGACTCGACCAATAAAACGTGCGACAAACTGGATTTGCACGTGGATGGGTCGAAGAATAGGCAGAATCGAGAAAAGCGTTGACTCCGTGGACTATCGGGGCATCGGCAAGCCCAAGAGAAGTTGTTGCTAGGGTTTCGTGGCAGACAGAATCGCGAGCCTATGAAACTGTCAAGAAAATTATGGGTTTCTCGTGACTAAGGGGCGCTAAGAACCTCACCATGATCTCGCGACGCGGAAGGAGAGCGGACAAGGGGAGGCGGCGCGGAAAGCTTCTGAAACAGCAGCCGGTGTGAGAACAAAACGAGGCGCGCCGGTTGTTACGAAGGGGGGGGAAAGCGCGTCCTCGTTGAGCGGAAGGGATGGGAAAGAAGTGCGGCGCGGAGCTGGCTGCGGAGGCCACTGGTCAATCAGATCGAATCAAATTCAGAGTGACTGGCAATGGTAATATCGAGGGATGCGGTCATGCGAGGCGGAGGGAGGGAGGGAGGCACAGGCGAGGCGAGGGGAGGGACAAGGGTGGCTGATCTGTTCTGCTGCTGAATTGCTTCGCGGGTTCCAGCGAAAGATGTAACATCAACTTCATGAAAAATAACAGCAAGTTTATAATCAGCTACACATAACAAAGTTCAGGTACCCAAATTGAGGGCATGGCAGAAAACCTGTACAGATTGCCCTGCCACATGCAAAATGTGAAGCACTAGCAGCTATCACTGTCCTCTACAAGTCCAAGCTACTTCACGTCATGGACCATAGAATGGAATTGTGACACCCAACCTCGGTAGGGGTTAGTAAATCTAGGCTAAACCTAGGCAGCATGTGCATGTGCATGTTGCGTCGCGTTGATCAACACACTTTTCAAGCTAGTCCGTTTCCTCCGGAGAATCATGCTGCATGAGTTTATGGCAGTGTCATTATGAGGAGCTTGCAGCAATACAAAACCAGAAGACAAGGGATGCACGGGCGTAGAGCACGCGAACCTGGAGGGGGGAAAGGACGAGGGAGGAATGGAAAGGGGGAGCGAGAATAAGGCAGTTGAAAGAGGCCACAAAGTAATCGAGTGCACCATCCGAGCAACGCAAATCGATCCCATTCCATGCTACACACATCCCCTCTACAAGCCCATATCCCGTACGTACCCCAGCATGCACATATAAGAACAATTCCCAGCATCGACTCAACATGCGTACCTCTTTGAGAGCCATCCCTCCACACGCATGCACCGCACTGCCTCCCCCCACAATACTCGTCTCCACCACCCTCACCCCTGCCGCCTTTTCGCCCTTCCCCCGCATTCCCCCACAAGCCGCCATCACAGGAAACCCTCGTGATGGCGGTTCTGCTGCTGGTGCTTCCGTGGCTGCTGTTGCTGCTGCTGATGAAGGTGCTACTAATGAGGTGTTACTCTCAGCTGCAACTGCTACGTGGCCAGTATCCCCTTCACGGCCTGCTCCACAGCTCTGCATATCCCATACCACCCTCTCCCCTTCGCAGACCCTGGCATTCCCCCTTTCGCACTCCCCGCCACACTCCCCTCCAACCCTCCGTCTCTTCCTATTAGCCACTGCAACAGCCACCCCTCCTTCCACTCCTCCCTCACCCAGCCGCTCCCCTTCCTTGTGCTGCTGCTGCTGCTGCTGAAGCTCTTTATGTGCAAGCGCATGTGCATGGGAGCCCGGGTGGCAAGTCGCGGAGGAGAGGATGGGGAAGAAGAGATGTGCGAGGGGGTGTGCAGCGCACTCTATGGCACACCGCTCCACCACCAGCCGCCCCTGCCGGTGCAGCACGCAGTGCCCGTACCCCGACCGCACTGTTACGTTGATTAACAGCGCTGATGCTGAAAAGTCCAGTGCGCTGACAAATAGGACGGCGAGGATGAGGGGTTTGGAGTAAGTGTCGGGGGAGAAAGGGGGGGAAAGGAGGAGAAGGAAAACATGGACGAATCTGAGGAAAACATTTCCTGCCTCTCCATTTTGGACCTCCGCAGAAGAGGAGGGGAGGATGGGATGGGGCCAGAGGGCAAAGAGGCACCCTCTTGGGAACACGAGTTCATTTTGTAAAGCTTTCTACTGCTTCCAACCGCACTTGCTACCTCTCTAGGCAGCTGCTCTCACCTCTCGGCCCATTTGGGGCTCTCGAGAACCGTGTCTGCACATGTCATGCCCGCTCCCCTCTGATAAGAGTGGGGGGGCAAGGAGAGAGGTTAGAGAGGAGAGGAGAGGAGAGAAGGGATGAGAGAGGGGAAAGGAGAGGGGAGAGGGACGAGGAGAGAGGAGAAGAGAGAGGAGAACGAGACTCATAAATTGCCCACACATCAACTGGCAAGCCATTGTATGGCATGGAAAGGCAGGCAGCGAACTGAGAGGTGGAACACAACAAGCGATAAAGCTAAACTCATACCCTCTCCCCTCCACTCCCTTCAACCCTACCCCTCCAAAGACCCATCCCACCCTCTCCTCTTTCTCCCTGCCACTTCCCAGTTCCACCCTCCAATTCCCCATGTTACAATCCCCCCCTCAACCCCTCAACCCCCCACCCCCTTCTCCCCCCTTCCAACGCACCAGGCACAGTGGCTTGTCCACCACCACACTCTCCACTGCATGCACGGCGCCTGCTGCCAATAGGATGGTGTCGCCCGGGCTGCCGCGCACGGGATGACAGGGGAGAAGGAAACGGATGGGCCGTGGGGGGGGGTGGGGGGGGAGAGAGGGGGAATGAGGTAGTATTACTGTGAAAGAAAAACATTATGGAAGGTAGGCAGCGTTACATGGAGTGCAATCAGTGGAGCTGCGGAAGGGGAGGAAGAGGGAGGAGGGAGGAAGAGGGAGGAGGGAGGAGGGAGGAAGAGGGAGGAGGGAGGAGGGAGGAGGGAGGAGGGAGGAGGGAGGAGGGAGGAGGGAGGAGGAGGCTGAAAATTCTGGGGGTAGGTAAAACAGGGGGTCTGACAGGGGGCTGACTACGCTGCCTTGACGAATCATCTTGTCTAGTGTCAAAACGAACATCACACACATTGCTGGTAGAGAAATAGGGTCCTTATAATCACGCATCTGATGACCTAAAGGCACTTCGCCACGCACCGCGCAGCTCTGACCGCAAGTGCCAACGACGGGAAGACACGTGGCAGCATGTCGTCAACCTCGTTGTCTGCCTCCCCGCGGAGAGGCGGCGGGAGGGATTGTGCGTGCGCCGGGGGTGTCGCGCGCGGGGGCGGAAGCGGGGGGAAGGCGGAAGGGAGGCTTGCGCGGAGAGGGTGAGGGGAGAGGGCGGAGTCAAGCGAGCGGCGGAGGTGGTGACGTGGCGCGGAGAATCGGCGGGAGAAGCGGAGCGGGTCCACGTGGATCCACATGCGGCGATCGGCGGCAAGATGTTGCCATCTGCGGCACACACGGCCCGCGTGGAACCGATCTGCCAATAACGGAGATGAGATAGGAGGTACGATAGGGAGGGTCGGAGGGGAGGAAGGACTATGAACATAACGAAGACGCGCCGCGCCGCTGATACGGAAGCAACATCTGACGCGCCTCGAAGTTCCCTCCGCATACGCACAAAAAAAAAAATCGACGCGCAATGTTCTGACACACTGCTCGTTATAATCACCTGGGAGCGGTGCTAGGAAGGAGAAGACGAGAAGCAGACACGCGTCGTCGAGGCAATCCATAGTCGTTGCGCTGCACCCTCCGCCATCCCCGCCCGCCGCTGCCGCGCACGCGGAGGCCTTCCGTCCACCCCGCGCAACACCTGCGCTTTCGTGCGCGGGCTCCGCCAGCGCGCATGCTTCCGCCTGCGCAGGAAATCCCAACGGCCGATTATCCATGACGCGAGGAAGCGGCGATATACTATTACTGCGTACTGCAGTCTGATGAAGGAACCGCGTGTCAGATTCCGTCTATTCGAGCTCTTCAGATGATCATGTGGGGGCAACAAATCAACAAGGGGGAAATTGAGGAGGTAGCGCAGTGGTGGCTGGGTGGGGTGCGGTGGCACTAGTGGCGCGAGCACAGAGTGAGTGGGGGGAGGGGAGGGTTGGGGAAAAGGCAGAGGTTGAGAGGACATTTGTCGATGTTATTGGTAGATATTCCTGGAATTCCTTTACCGCGTATTGCGAGGACTGGTTGGGCGCATCCTCGCCAAAGGGAGCTTCACTCGTGGAACATTGTGAAGTATCCATATTTTTGTGTTTCCTTCTTACTCACAGCTTTCTTGTTTCACAAACCCAGCTGGCAATGTTCACACATAAGCTCACCACAAGGTCCTATACTGAATAGACATGTTTTCAAATTAAATATTTTGTTTTGACAAGTGGCTCACTCTGCAATGGAGATTTTGAGAAGAATACAAAACTGTCAAATTTCACATTTTTTTAATAGGATGCAAGCTCTTGGCTGGAACATGACAGATGCTCCATCTCTCCTACACGAAATATACCGTAATTGTCCATACCTAGAGTATCTATGATGTTCCTACCACTTCCTCAAATGCCGTGTCAAAACTTCCCACCAATCATTCTCCCTGAAATCACTCCACTAGCCCCAGAGAATCCTAAATACAGATTGCTGTTTGTAGTCACCTGGAGCGATCCAACCAGCTCCGCCACGTCAGCAGCTGACACCATCACAGCATTGGTGAGTGACCAGGAAGCAGCGCTCATGAGCTGCCACGTGCCAGGGAGGTTCAAGACGACAGTGGAATCACTGGCGCTGCAAGCATTTCCCTTGTAGATGGCCTGCGAGTCAGGGGCTTGGGCGATGCCTGACGCATATAGGTAGTAGGCGACTAGGTAATCTGAGCCACTGCATTGGGAAATCAGAAATAGCAACGGAGGGGAAGAGGGGTCAGAAAGGTATGAGGAGCTGAAATTAGCGAAGGGGTGCAACTAAATCAGCAGATGCGTTCGGTCAAACAAGCAAGAAGAGAAAGGAGAAGAACCCAAAAGACAGATTGGTTCAAAAGAAGGCAAGACGACGGGGTCTTACATCTTGAGGATCTCGATGTTGGCAGCGCCGGCCTGAAGAGAAAACGGTCCGCTGCAAGATAGCAGCACCCCGCGCAGCATGCCTGCCTGTTGGGGAAGAACATCCGCCAGGCTGCTAATACTGCCGCTCAAAAGCCCGTTAAGAGCGCCACTAATCACTCCGTTGAGGGCGCTGTTGTTTAGAAGGTTGCTGAGGGCCGCGGTGACCGTTTCGTTCAATGCCGCTGTCACGTCGGTTACGGTTCCGTTTAGGGCTCCGTTAAGGGTGACCTGCAGCAGGAGCGCGTTCACCTTCCCGGCGAGTGACGAAACGTTTGCGTTGATCCCTGCGACTCTCTGCGTCACAGCAGCTATTCTCTGCGACAGCCGCTGCTGCAGCGATGTAGGCTTTCCAGCCGCGCGAATCGAGGGAATCCCGGCTGAAATCCCCGTCAAAACCGCCAGGTCCTTGTTCAAAGCGTCAACGCTGGATCTGATGCTGGGAATGTTGGCCTTGATTGCTGACACTTGAGAATCCAGGCCTGCCGCTGCCGCTGCCGCTGTAGACACGTTCGCAAGTAGGACAATGTTCACGTTCGCGAGGCTCCCGTTCAGAGCAGCGAGGCTGGCTTTTAGCGCGGATATCTGTAATTGAAGAGCGGCGTTTGCAGCTGAAGCCGCGTTGTCATTGAGACTAGCTGCGAGGTGTCCTAGCCTTCCCCTCAATGCCGCGTCAATAGAAGCGATTTGACCGTTTAGGGACGACTGGAGGTCGTTGAGTGTGGCGCTGACAGACATGGACAGGTTTTGTCTAACGGCAGAGGCTATTTCGGAGGGCTTGAGGGCGGTGGGAAGGCGGTTGGTGGGGAGTACGCCAGGAACGAACCTCGTGGCGTCGGTTGCTCGTCGTAGCATGAGGGCTGCAATTTTGGCGAACATGGCAGTAATGAGTAACGTTTCAGAAATGTAAATTTAAACGATAGATTCTGTAATAAGGGCGGTTAGTAACGTTTCGGACTTCCTAACCTGCAAGTTGCAATCAGTGGCTCACCTGTGACGAACAGTGTAATCGTCAGTGTGGCAAAAGCGCTTCGTGCCATTGCAGGAACCGGGGGCTGGTAATGCTACTCGTTGGCGAAAAGGACTGAAGGGGCGACGATGATGACAGGTATTTAGTATTTGTGAGCGCAAGCTTGGGCACGAGACCTTTTGAAGAGGAAGTTGGAATCTGAATGGGAAGTTGTAGTAGCTGTGTTGATGTTTGATGTCAAACGATCTGCTGCTGAATTTATACAAGCTGCTGGGGAATTGGAATTTGTGGATCGAAGCAATCAGTGCGGTGCGCACCGCTGATTGTGATCAGCTCATTGGTTGTTCCGTGCGTCCGTCGAGTCGCACGCGGAGAGTCAGCTGCTTGGCAATGGCAAGCCAAGGAAAAGCCCATCGCTTTTGGTAGGCTGGTGGTACCGTCGGACCGTCAGAACATCAACGGCGCTGAACGGCGACGAACAGCGACGAAGGTGCATTTGCTGGGCGATGTTCGGCAGCCACAGGGAATCGACGGGAGGGCATGGGACGGAGGGTGAAAACGTCGGGCCTCCTGGTTCGACCTTGACGAACCAGGCAAAACACTACGGTCAGTAGATGAAAAAACGAAAAACATGCCGGACGTGGGCCAAAAACGCGATGCGAACCCCAACCTAGACCTGAGACCGCGCCACATCCTCCCCATGAACCCCCCCCCCTTGGCGGAAACTTTCCGCTCCAGTGTCGAGGGATGGAAAGTGGATTCCCGTGAGGTGGACAACCCCACAGGGAATCAGAATTCCATGCCCCGGACGATGGGTATGTTTTTTTAAACACCCATGCACTTCTATTTATCACCCAGATAGAGTTACTAGCCTTTTAACGGATGCTTATCGAAAAATACATGGAATGAAATTCGGGTGACGTTTACTTGTTTAAGTGTTGACTTTTAGCAATTGTAAATTAAACGCGAACTAATAAAAAGTAAACTTCTCAACAGAAATATCCAGTGTATTTTCGCAAATTAGGGTGAGGCTTACAAACAAACCCTGACGGGAACTGTTCACGTCGCGAAGGTTCACGTTTGCAAGGCGTCTGCTTCCGTTGCCCTCCCCCTACCACCCTGGACCTCCGCAATTACCGCCGAGTCCTTCCGCTTGCGCAAGGACCTCGAACTTGGCGTCAACTGTGGTTGACCCCAAGTTGACCTGTCACAACTAGGGGCGAGGCTGTCGATTTTCGATGCCTCGACTCATCCCTCGCTGGATCCCTTGGGCTGCCGAACATCGCCCTGGGGTCGTCGCTCCTGGTTACCCTATGCGACGATAATCGTAGCCGCCGACATGCGACGGTGTGGCAGGCTGTTGCGGAGTTGGTTGCGGGTAGCTGATTACTCCTGCTGACCTACGGTATCACCAACCAGCGACACTGCCATCCAGCCTGCGAGCAACTCTTGTCATGCCCAAAGGGTTGAGCTTTGGTTGGGCGTGTCAGATTTATATGACATAGCTACTGTAGGCTATAGTGGGGTAGCACGTATGGGGTACAGTTTTCTAGGGTTTGCTTTTTGTACCCAACTTTCACTTAGTTATTTCATTCTTGTTTTCTTAATTCACATGGTATAGAGCGGGTTCCTACATGGGACCGTTCCTTCCTAAGGGCCCACCATAACGAAAATTTTTTTTAGCTGCCCGACGCGCATTGCGCCCCTGCCCTAATTTTTTTTTTAGCGCCCCCCCCCTAGCGGCCCCTACGCGACCCCTACGCGGCCCCTACGCGGCCCCTACGCGGCCCCTACCCGGCCCCTACGTCGCCCCTGACGCGGCCCCTACGCGGCCTCTGACGCGGCCCCAACGTGGCCCCTGACGTGGCCCCTACGCGGCCCCTGACGCGGCCCCAACGCGGCCCCTGACGCGGCCCCAACGCGGCCCCTGACGCGGCCCCTACGCAGCCCCTGACGTGGCCCCTGCCGCGGCCCCTGACGCGGCCCCTATGCGGCCCCTACGCTGCCCCTGAGGCGGCCCCTGACGCGGCCCCTGACACGGCCCCTCCGCCGCCACTACCGCGGCCCCTACGCCGCCCCTGACGCCGCCCCTGACGCCGCCCCTGACGCGGCCCCTGCCGCGGCCCCTGACGAGGCCCCTGACGCGGCCCCTGACGCGGCCCCTACGCCGCCCCTGACGCGGCCCCTGACGCGGCCCCTGACGCGGCCCCTGACGCGGCCCCTGCCGCGGCCCCTGCCGCGGCCCCTGACGCGGCCCCTGACGCGGCCCCTGCCGCGGCCCCTGCCGCGGCCCCTGACGCGGCCCCTTCGCCGCCCCTGCCGCGGCCCCTACGCTGCCCCTGACGCGGCCCTCTCCTGCACCTGACGCGGCCCCTAGCGGCCGGCCGCTGCCGTCCCTGAGGCAGCAGCCGCCGCCGTCTCTGTAGCAGCAGTCGCAGCCGAACGGCCGAGCCGCCGAGCCGCCGAGCCGCCCAGCAGCCGAGCCGCCCAGCCGCCGAACCGCCCAGCAGCCGAGCCGCCCAGCAGCCGAGCCACCGAGCCGCCCAGCAGCCGAGCCGCCGAGCCGCCCAGCAACCGAGCCGCCGAGCCGCCGAGCCGCCCAGCAGCCGAGCCGCCGAGCCGCCCTGCAGCCGAGCCACCCGAGCCGCCCTGTCCGGTAAGAGCAGCGCCCCTTTCACAGCACTGCCCTCACCCTACTGTTTGCGCTGCTAGTCTACTACTGTCATGGCTACCCCTAGTGTCCTCGCTTTTGACGCTGAGGGTCGGGCCATTGACTTTGATGTCTGGATAGATGACCTGCAGCTTTTCTTACAGTGCGACAGGGCAGACGGCCTCTCCCTCTTTGAACTCACTTCTGGTGCCTCTCCTGCCCCCGCTGCTGATGCTGACGCCACTGTTCGCTCACAGTGGGCCACGCGCGATGCTGCTGCACGTCTTGCTGTGCGTCGCCACCTGCCTACCTCTGAGCGTGCGCACTTTAGCCAGTACAAGAGTGCTCACACCTTGTACGACGCTGTAGTTGCGCGCTACTCCTCCCCTGCCACTGCTGCACTGAGCCGCCTCATGCTACCGTACCTCTTCCCTGACCTTGCTGCCTTTCCCACAGTCGCTGACCTCATTACGCACCTCCGCACTAGTGACACTCGCTACCGCGCTGCGCTTCCTGCTGAGTTCTGCGCCAAGAACCCCCCCCCCATGTACATCACCCTCTACTACATAGTCACCCGGCTCCCTGACTCCCTTCGCGTAGTCAGGGACCACTTCCTCTCAGTTTGCCCCACCACTCTCACCGTTGACCTCCTCGAGAAGTCCCTCCTAGCAGCAGAGAAGAGCATAGTCGCTGTAGGAGCCTCTCGTGGTGACCCTCGCACCCCCATCTTTGAGGGGTGTTCCCCCTCCCCCCTTTTGCCCTCTGTTGCCTCTGCTGCTGCGGCCGACCTCGTTGGGCTTGAGTCGGTCGGTGCGGCGTCTACCCCTAGCGGGAGACGTCGCCCTGGCAAGGGCAAGGGGGGCAGGGGCACTGGAGGAGCTAGCGGGGGCGGTGGAGGCGGAGGTGGAGGCGGTGGAGGGGGTGGGGGTGGAGGTGGGGGTGGTGACGGGGGTGGAGGTGTCGGTGGCGGCAGTGGAGGCGGAGGCGGAGGCGGCGGTGGCGGTGGGAGCGGAGGTGGCGGCGGTGGAGGAGGAGGCGGCGGAGGAGGTGGAGCTGGTCGGGGTGGCGCTGCGCAGAGGGTCGGCTCCGGTGGTGGTCAGCGCTAGCAGCAGCAGCGCACTCGTGACATCCCCTCCCCTCAGCAGCTCCGTGAGTGGTACACTGCACGCCAGAGGGGTGGGGGTACTGGTCCGTGCACCTACGTCCTCCGCACCGGCGACCGCGCGGGTGACCAGTGCGGGGGTGCGCACTCCACCCAGCGCTGCTTTGGCCGCCTGACGGACGCTTGGCGTCACCAGTTCCCTGAGGCCACTGAGATCCCCCGCTGGGGTGAGCTGTCTAGGGCGGGTGTAGCTGTCTTTGACCTTGACTTTGATGCTATTCTTGCTGCCATGTATACTGTGACTATTAGTGATGAGGGTGACTGTTACCGGTGTTTTCCGCCTGACCCGGGCATTGAGACTGCTGCTCTAGGTACTGGTGAGGCTGCTGCTCTAGGTGCTAGCGAGGCTGCTGCTCTAGGTGCGTCTGCTCCCTCAGGTGCTGGTGAGTCTGCTCTCTCAGGTTCTGCGTCGGCTTCGGCCTCCCACACCTTCACCCTTGACTCGGGGGCTTCTCGCTCCTTCTTTCGAGACCGCACCACACTCACGCCGCTTGGCCGGCCAGTTGCAGTCTCTCTGGCAGACCCCTCTGGGGGTCCTGTCCTTGCTCACTTCTCCACTGTCCTCCCGTGTCCGGCGGCCCCCTCTGGCACCCTGTCTGGTCTTTACCTCCCCTCGTTCTCTACGAACTTGGTGAGTGGTGCTGACCTACAGGATGCGGGGGTTCACCAGTTCACTCCTGCGAGTCAGCGGGTGACCCACTGCACGGACGCTCGGACAGGCCGACACCTGGCCACGTTTACACGTCGGCCGGGGTCGAGCCTGTACACACTGACCACTGCGTCTCCTCCGGTCACTGCGTCTGGTCAGGTAGCTGCGTCAGGTCAGGTGTTTGCTGCAGCGTCCAGGTCTGGTCCTGAGTCTGCCCCCTGTTCGTGTCGCCTCCTGTCTCACGAGACTCTCCTCTGGCACCACCGCCTTGGTCACCCCTCTCTGCTTCGTCTCCGAGGCATGGCCTCCCGTGTCCTTGTCTCTGGTCTTCCCCGGTCCCTCCCTCCCCTTCCTCCGGGGCCTGGCCCTACCTGCGTCCCCTGTGTCGAGGGGCGGCAGCGGGCTGCCCCTCACTCCTCTCAGTTTCCT